ATCTATTCAAGTATAGAAATATGAGAATAGTGTGATCTCTGAGTTATATGAATAATATTGATCTAGTCTACAGCTTAAAAACTATCAAAGAGAATTTGAAAGTGATTGAAGAAGCTGCAAAGGAAATCTTTGTTAGAGCAGATATCAATCAAATTTAATTTAATATAGATAAAACTAAGTTAATTCATTTCTTTTCTAGATTCAATGAGAAAGAACTATCTCTAACTCTTTTAAATAGAGAGATTAAACCCAGTGTAAATGTCAAATGATTAGAAGTATGATTAAACTCCAAGTTGAATTTTAAATATCACATTCAATAAAGAACTGTCAAGATAGAAAGACTATTGAATAATATAATCAGACTATTAAATACAGAGAGAGATCTATTCTTTCAGACTATGAGACAGTTATATATAGCCTGTATTATCTCAGTAGCTGATTATAGAGTTCAAGTTTGATGAAATAATCAAGGGAATTTCACTGCACTCTTTCAAAGTCTGTAAAACAGAGCTTTGAGAAGAATTCTGAAAGCATTCAAATCATCTTCTATTAAAGTAATGAAAATTGAAGCTTCAATTTCTTCTTCTGCTATTAGATTTGAAAAGGTCTGTATGAACAATGCTCTGAGAGTTATAAAGATGAGCTTAAATTATATAATCAGAGAAAGAGTCTCTTCTTCATTTTCATCAATTAACTCTGAAAATCAACTGGATTAAAATAGATTTCTTGATTGAAATGAAAATAATTCTTCAAAGAAAATGCCTTCTCAACTGTACAGACTATGCTCTCTGATTAAAAATTAATTTTTTTCTTTAAATATTGAAAAAGTTGATCATGAGAAGATATCTCTCTGAAGAGAAAAGCTTGAATCTCTTATAGACTTGTAAATAAGTAAACTATTTAAGAAGAAAGAATATGAACAGCATTTGAAGAGAACTTTCACAATCAATATAGAAGACTCTATTCTGATTTATTCAGATGACTTTAAAAATGAGAATTTGAATAGATTAGACACAGACATTGCTTATACTGAAGATAATATCAATTTTATCTCAGATTTCTAAAATTTAGGCTGTGAATCTAAAGTCTTTGATGCTGAACTATTTATAATAGTGAAAGCTTTCAAACTCATTGAAATAAAATCTCATAAAAGAGAAAATATTTTAAAAGAGATATGAATATTCTCTGATAGTCAAGCTGCTTTAAAAAGACTCAGAAATAGTCAGATTTATAATGATTAAATGATTCTTGAACTGATTTTAAACTCTGTTTTGAAAATTCAAAAGAGAAGAACATTACAACTGATAATTCATCTGTATTAAGTTCCTGCTTATATAAATATTCATGATAATGAATTGACTGATTCAGCTGTAAAAAAGAGTTCAGAATTAAGCAGATCTATTCAAACAACAGTGTTCTGATTCTTCATAAAGAGAAAGATGAAAGAATCTTGTTTAAATAAGTGAAATGAAAGCTGACAGAATCAAAAGAAGAGCATACATTATTCAAGATTTGAGATAAAATCAAAGTGAAAATCTTGTTCAATTAAATATAAAAAGAAAATATTCTCATCTATAATTCAGCTGAAACTAGAACATGGTTATTTCAAATCCTATATACAAAGATTTAATGACAGATTTGATTCAACAGAGTGCTCATTCTGCTATGTGAATGAAAATTCTGAGTATATTATAATGCATTATGCATTATACAATAGTCTCAGAGTCAGATTAAAGAAGAGATATAATTTAAATCAATTAAATATGAGGTTCTTATTCTCAACTGAGACAGAAATTAAATACTTAATAGACTTTCTTTCAGAAACTCAAGCAGCTATAAGAAAATGACTGAATTCAGAAGTATCTGAATATGAAGAGGTGGAAATTGATTAGATATAGTCTGTTAAAACAGCTATACACTATCTTTTAATAATTTTATTTTGTTATAGTCTTTCTTTACTATACTTATTTCTTTCTGTTCTTTTCTATCTATCTACTTAATATGTCTATCTTTAAGACTATGTTCTCTTTTCCTTTGTCACAATATTTTCAAATGATTTCAAAGTATCAGAAGATGTTCAAATACTGCAATTTGTAAACAGTTTTTGTATTCTGAGCTGAACTTTTCTGATTTTGCATATCTGAAATTGATAAATGTATAATAGTTGACTCTATAGATATAGGACAAACTCTGAGATCTAAAGGTTCTCAGGTAGATATCATAGTCTCTGACTACATACATCTATAATTGAAGAAGAATAATAATAATAATAATAATAATAATGATACACACTTTATGTTGATATCAGTCAGTGACTTCTTTGAAAGTGATCTCAGAAACTTAGAAGCCTGTTTAAATAGTGAAGATTCTTGCTTATATATAGATATTTAAATCTACTCAGTTTATAACATCTGTATCATTGTTATTCTTTAATACAGATATATAAGTGACTGAGATGTAATGTTTTCTATCACTGCTCTGTATACTCTTGAGCTTGATAAGACAGTTATTCAATGTCTGAAGTTATGTATAGAAGTCTTTATAAGTTAAGTCTTTATTTACACTTATAAGAGTCTGTAAGAGTTTGAAAGTTAATGTCTTCTTGAGCATGTTAATCTTCATTTAATTCTCTCAAGATTGATTATCTGCTTCTAGAATCTTAGTGTCAAAGTCAGAAATGAATGTTGTGAGAGAAGTGTTTCTCTGTCAGATACTCTGTAATCAATCTAATACTTTCTATTGTATGACAGTGTCTTAGAACAGAATATCAAGATATTTGATAATATTATCAGATATTTGTAACACTGATTCACATGCTTTCAGCTATGAATAAAACTTCTGTTTTATATAATTCTTCAATTATTCATTGATATATCAATCTTGATTAATTAGTGAACTGATGATATCTTCATCTATACTTAGTTTCATAAGCATTTTTAACTTTCATGATAAGTAGAGAGTGAGATCAGATGTATTAAAATGTATGAGAGCATTTAAGTATTTCTTCAGTGTTTATATTATATTCATATTCAATTCTGTCAGTGTTGAAATTGTCTGTATAGAGGTTTCTTATTGAGATAATTATTGAATCTCTTTATATTGACATTGTTAAGTTACATGCATATCAGCTATCTATTGCTGTTATAATTTCAGCATTACTCAGAGTCACTGTAGCACTGTATCTATACTCACATTTAAGAGTTTTCTCATATTATCAGTAGACATAGCTGTATTATTCATCAGATGTGTGTAATTGTATGAATATCTCATATATCTGTATCAGAACTCTCAGGTCTTTCACTGATATTCTCTTTGTAAGATCTTATTACAGAGTCAGAATAACTGATGAGTAAGCTTCTATCTGAGAACTCAGTATCTGCTTAACTGATTATTTCTCTATTTCTTACATATTATTATGCATTCAGATATCTTCTTGATGAATAATCATTTTTAATGAGAAGATAATAAATGTTTTTCTAGTATAAGAGGTCTACACTGAATAGATTGATGTAATATATAGATCTTATATAACAAAGAGAAAAATGTTAAAGAAGAAAAAGAAAGAGAAAGTGCAAGAATCAGTAATCAAAGTGAATATTTATACACATATGTGATGATGTACACAGTGAAGCTTCAGAGCAGGAGAATTTATACATGTTCATAGTAGCTGAGAATCAGTAATTAAGAATGACTGAGAATTGAAGCTTTCAGCAGAGTCTATGAAGTGTAAATGAAATAGTCTATATAATTAATTAAGTGCAGTTCGTCACACATATTCATAAAAATTTATTATTATTAATAATATATCAGCTTCTATATCTACTCAGTGATAATAACTCACTCTGATATTATATATATAGTAAGTAAGCTAGCTATATTTATAATGAATTCATTAGAATATTACTTATCAGAGATAAATAGAATAATATTATATCTATATAATATAAAGAATCTTATTATTTAATATAATAATAATATTAATAAATCTCTATAACTAGATTTTAAATCTGATATTATTAAAGTTATCAGTGATGTTTTATTTATAAAGAATCTGAATTATCACTTTATATAAGAATATATCTTTAAACTATTTAGTAAGACTATTGATTGAAAATCTAATAGATAGATAATTATAACTATCTCTATTACTAAAGCTGAGCTTATTACTATCTCACAGACTGATAAGAAGTCTATCTGATAAGATAGATTCTTTTAACATATTTAATTTAAATCTGATTACAAGATCTGTATTCAATATAATAACTATTAAATAGTTAACATTCTTATGAAGAAAGACTTCTCTATAATTATAAAGCTCTGACATATTAATATATATAATAGCTAACTCTGAGAATATGTTTAATTCAGTGATATTACAGTTGATTAAGTGTTTACAGTCTAGATGCTAGTGAATGACCTCACTAAGACTCTGCCATGCCAGAAATATATGAAATTTATCAAGATGCTAGACCTAGTTGATATATCAGATATTATTAAGATGTAAGCAGAATAAATAATATATCTTGATATAATCTCTACAGATTCATCTACACTCTTTTTTGATTATTTCTATGCAGCTTCATTTACACTTTCTTTTGCATGTTACATTCACTGAAGAGGGTGTGTCAGAAAAAAGAGATTATACACTACTAAACATCATCAATATTGTATTACTATAATATTTCTCATCATCATCAGCTTACTATAATACTCATCTAATACTTACTTATACTAGCTCTCTTGGCTCGCACATTTATTTTACTATAAATAGCTCTATCTTTTGTATGAAATAGAGATATTAGATAGTGTATGGATAATATAACATATGTCTCCGACACGTTGTCTATCTCCGAGTAACGCCGAACCACGGCGGCCCTTCGTCAGTGTATCCAGCCCATCCACGATACTCTATTTTGCCCATGTAGTTATCGCCTCCAAGTAAGTTATCGCTGGCGTCTGCTCACTCTTGCTCCCATAAACGCCCTCGCCTACTCCTTCAAATGGCTACCTTGGGGGTATTCTCGCGCTCCTATTCAGTAGTCAAGATACTTCTCTCACGAAGTCCAGGCTGTACCAGTCGTGCTCTAATTTTCGCACCCAAAGCTCCATCTCCATCCTTACGGCCCCTTCATATCCATGTTCATGGCGGTGGCTTTATAGGTGGCATCCCGGAACTGGACAATGCGTTTTGCAAGCGCATGGCCGATGAGACGGGCGCTGTTGTCGTGTCCATCTCTTACAGCCTAGCGCCCGCGATATCCGTTTCCAACAGCTCACCTGAATGTCCAGGACGCTGCAGCTTATATTGTCGCCAACGCTGAACGGCTTTGGGGAGCCAATCCGAAACTTTTGACGCTTAGCGGGTGCTCCGTGGGCTCTAACCTGGCTCTCGCCATCTCCCGGAGTCTTTCGGATACAGACACTCCTGCCCAAAGGCACACTAATGATCGACAACTCCTGTTCGTACTCAACCCTCCTCTCCCTCTCTTTTGTCTTCACCCAGACCCCACCAAAAGTCGAGTTTGTCAGAACTAGATCAGCCCATCTCTCCTCTCACCCTCCTTCGTTTTCAAGCGCTCGACGGCATTGGCGTTAGAAGATCTAACTTGTAAATAATTCTCCTCTGTTTTTTTTTTTATCTTTCCTTCACATTAGGTCGACCTCCGTATCCCTCCATCGGAAAAACCACGACCGCCCCGCCTTTCCAAACAAAGACAGACCCTCTGGTCTTCATAGCTCCTCTCTTCAATGCCTACGCCGAATCTGCACGGTCCCAAAGATCCGAAGACTCTCTCTTAAATCCCATTTTAGCTGACATCCGCACTCTTCCGCAGAAAATGCTGTTTATTATTGCCGGCGCGGATATTCTTCTGCATGAGGTGACGACCTTTGTAGACCGTCTGAAGAATGAAGTGGTGATGTTGAATTCCCAACGGGGTAATAATAGCGCAGATACCCCATCGGGCAATTATGAGGTTGAAGGCATAGTGTTTGATAAGATGCTTCATGGCTGGTTAGATTGTAAGTTTGCTTTGCCTGTCTCCTCGCCGTTCTCTCTTTTTCCCTTTTGCACAGCATGTATTTCTTGTTATATATCATTTAGTCTCTGGCGGACCATTTTACGGAGATGGCTACTCATTACTTTTATTTCATTTGCTGCTTTTTCTTTTTTTTTTTTTTTTTCAAGTTCCATCATTCGCAATTGACGAAAATCTGAGAACGCAAGCGCTGAATGCTTCGTACGATTTTATCCGACGTTATTCACACGGAAAATGACTGGCAGATTGATAAGACCAGTTAATTGAAAGTACTTCTACAACAGCACGTGCTCCATGCGAGTGGAGCTTATAGACATGTACATATGTTAACTACTAGATAAAAGACACTCTCCACTTGTTCATATTTGTCTTTTCGGAGAAGAAATGGGTGTGCGCATACTTTTTGCGAGTGTGCTTGATTGTAAAATTATACGTACGTTGCGAGGACTCCGTGTAATGCTCATGTGGTGAATTCAATTAATGGGATGTGGGTTGCCCTTGTAAGTTGGTGGAAGAGTCAAATTCGTTGATTGAAGTAAGGGGTGGGGTGGGGAAGCCGATCATCACCTCCTCGATTCTGCAAATTTGTCGAGCACAAGTGGACCCCATGTTGAAACATTGACGGCATTCAAAGGACCATGTCCCGTCCCTAGTGGTAGATGCTCCTGTTGCCTGTCAAAAAGATCTCATCATCGGCTCGGCTTCTTCGGGCCGACCCCCAAACAATGCCGAAAAGCTTATTTCTCCACATTCCACAGCCGCAAAACCCTAATTGCTGATTTCGCCGTTTGGCTTTGCTTTTGCTCTGGTCTGATTACTTTGCTTTTCAGAAAATAAAAAAAGAGAAGAAAAGAAACTAATTACTTTGACGTCCTTTGATTCGAATCTTTGGCGCTCTCGGGGAAATTTCTCTGGTGTCTAACAGGGAGCGGAGGAGTGGCAAATCGTGGAAGGCGTGGATTGAGTACGAAACCTCAAAGCATTTGCTATTTCCATGTTCATCATGAGCAGCCTCCTGACAACTATTTACGATATTGCGCCATGTATATCGACAGCACAGGTGCTTGGGCTCGAATTACCAAGTGCAGATGCGCTATGGGAAGCACCCGATGAGAGGCAATGGCTTGACCTGCAAAATTCAACGACTGCTCAACTCCCCCGCTTGGAGTTAAAAGATGTGATAACCCCCTTTGACTTCCGGCCAGGGGACTCAGAGGATGGAACGAACTGAACAGAAAGTTGAGCTTATCCAATTTTTACATCACCACTGCTACGCACGCAGTGAATATATATGTCTGGAATCTCAGACAGTGCATAATACCCTTCTCGCCGCAGGGTTTCTCGGGGAATATTAATAATATAATCGAAGGCGAACTGCACGCTATTTGCACCCAGCAAGCGGAGACGTCAATTGCCAGATGTTGCCAGCTCTTACCAAATAGGTTGCGTGAGATGATAGAGGGGGATCACAAACGTCACCCGCTCGCTAAATTGGTCGTGTTTAATGGTTATGCGCTGCTGCGGAGCACTTTTTCTTGGGACCTTCGCTACCGACAGTACTAGGCCCATACGTGTTGCGTTGCTGACTGCATGTAAAGAGTACCCAACGCGGCCCTGGCATCGCGATCAATTCATGGATAATGCTGCTATCAAACTGTTCACGGATATGCTGACTCCATTATATGTCTGGAAGGAGGAGGGGGGGGGGGGCGCGCCGTGGGGAACTCAAGCGCGGAATGGAGTGTCTCTAGTGGATGGAGAGGTTGAGCATTCTATCTCGGTATTTGATACAGGTAGCTATTATATTGACTAAACTGTCTCTACTACTTATGGGTGTGATTTTGCATATGTTCTCTAATAAATGGATGGGAACGTTGCTAGCTCAAGCGTGAAATTATCTTCTATGGTCCTTGTCTTCACGAAGTGGTTATCCAGTCTTTAGCTACGATACCAACGTCTACCTACTGGAAAGCTAGAACAGGAGATTATTGATGATGTGGGCGAGCTGATCGGGGAGAGGGTGGATGGCAGGACGGCACTCGCGGCCAGCTTGGCTGAGGCCTTTGCATCTTTGCTGGCTGATGATAGTAGTTCAGGAGGTACGAGGACACAATGTATGAGCTCTAAACTGTGAATCTTGTGTAATGATCTAACATATACTTGCACCCGTATAGTGGCGATTTGAATGAGATGGATTCTTCTTAACCTAGCAGATACTTATGAGGAGGACTTCCAAATTGAAAAGCAACTCGGCTCGCTGAAGATGCCGATGATATATCGATCATATCATGGATCGTACCTGGTTGAGAATGCTAAAAATGCTAAAAGTGGTTATATCCATAAAGAGGCGCCCTCTCTATGATTGCGGGTATCCGTTGTGTACTTTCATGTGGCAGGCTATCAGAAATCTCTGGTCTTGGGGCTCCAGTAACCCCTAACCACAGAAAGATAAAAATCTAGTTCACAGCCAACCGATCGGTAGTTAAGCGTTAGTTCGACAAGCTCTCGCGCTGGATCTTTATTCCAAACTTCTCATACGGGAAGTCCTCCAAGCTTGCCAGCAAATGGGCCCACCCATCACCAACCTCGCCGGTCTTCCCAGATCCACGGCCTCGCCATGTATCGAGTCCCTCAAGGTCTTCCGGTATTTCATGATCCACATCAACATCCTTATGCTCTCCTGTCAAACCAGCTAAGACCAGGTCTTCCTTCCCGCGATATTCCTCAAGCAGTCCCGCATGGGGAACCCAGACTACCTGCATCCCCGCCCTCCGCCCAGCCTCGACGCCCGGAACAGAATCTTCAAACACGAGACATTCTTCTGGTTTAATTTCGGGTTCTCCGTTATTTGCCGCTCGAATTTCGGCATTGATGGTTTCGAGTGCCAGCAGGTAGATGTCCGGTAACGGCTTCCCTCTCCCCGCGCCGATACGGGGATTGTCACCTCGGATCAGTCTTGATTCCGGGAATACAGAGAAGAGACCTGCCAAATGAGCGGTTTTCAGGGCATAGTTCTTGGACGTCGATGACGTGGCCAGGGCGATATGGACTGGGGAGGAGGTCTTCGCTGTCCCAGCAAGATCCGAGAGCAGAGTAACTACGCCTGGTAATGGCTTTGTGGTCGGGAAATGGATTTTCTGGAGTGCGGCTTGTTTTTCATGGAATTGGTCCTTGGGGATGGGCAATTGGGCCCAGTCATGGAATATCTTTCCGGCCTGGATTTGGGAGGAAGATTTTGAATTAGTTTATATGCTATATAATCAGCATGGATGAAGCTATAGATAGATTATTTATACCTGTGGAGCTGGACGGCCTTGTAACTGCGCCTTAATAGACCACGGCATCGTCGGCCTGCCATACTCAGACAGAATCTTATTTATCACGAGCGAATAAATGTCCTCTGAATCGATAAGAAGGCCATCCATGTCGAATAGACAGGCCCGAATGGGAGGTGGTCTTTTGAGAAATGGGTCAGCCCAGTTGCTGCTCTACATAGTTATAAATTGAAGAACACACACATACTGTTTATGCGCAGAGGCCATGGCTGTGTCTAAATACAGGCAGTTCTTCTCTTGACAGAGTAATAGGTGGATTCAATGGCGAGATGTTGATATGTTCTGAAGTGAATCCTTGATAGATAAAGGCGGGGGACGACTTTAAAGTTAGTTAAATATTATAAATATTTAAATATTTAACTAACGACAGGGCTCGAGTTAGTAACTTAGTAACTATGGAAAAGGAAAGTTTTGCCAACAAAGAGCTTTCACCATCCTTAGCTACCGTATCTCTTTTTCAACATCTATAAACAAGGGGAAAAAACACTCTTGAATCCGCTCGAAAGAATGACTGGTTCATCTTTATCCGACAGCGACAAGGAAGAAGTATTCCACGACGCCCGCTACCCCGCTGAAGAAGAAGCAGTCTGTACCCTCCCTCACTGCAAAGGCCAAACACTGTCTTTATGAAACCTCCCAACGGGGGCTCATAGCTGTCCTAGATAAATAAGCTAATTCAGTATATGATATAGGACCTCCTAAGCCAATCCAACACCCATAAGTCCGAGGCGAACAAGCTATTCTCCTCCGCCCGCTACTCAGAAGCCATCACAACCTACGACCGCGCCCTCTCCTTTTGCCCAAACTATCTAGACTACGAAATCGCCGTCCTCCGTAGCAATATTTCCGCATGCCACTTGAAGCTGGAGGACTGGAAAGCTGCCGTCGAGGCAGCCACGGCTAGTATTGACCGCCTAGATAGAGCGTTGCCACCCCAACCACGAAAGGGAAAGGAGTCGGCGTCTGGGGAGGGCGTGGGTGATGGAGCCAGTACCAATGCTAGTGCCAGTGCGGATAGTAATGACGTGGTAGAGCTACTAGATGGTGACGGGGACGAAGAGTCGGAAGAGGCACAGTTGAAGAAACTCCAGGAGGAGGACAAAAGGAAAGAGGATATCCAGCGTATACGCGCCAAGGCACTCATGAGGCGGGCCAGGGCTAGGATGGAGTTGGGTGGGTGGGCGAATCTACAGGGTGCGGAGGAGGATTATAAGGAGCTGCTTGCAATGGGGAATTTGCCGGTGCAGGATGACCGGGTTGTGCGAAAGGCGCTGAGGGAGTTGCCTGGTTTGGTGAATGCGGCGAGAGAGAAGGAGGTTGCGGATATGATGGGGAAGCTTAAGGATGTGAGTTGTGCAACCGTTCCTTTTTATCCTTCCTGCCTTCTTCTTCTTCTTCTTCTTCTTCTTCTTCTTCTTCTTCTTGTTGTTGTTATTCCTATAGTTACCCATTACTTACGAATGTCGTACCTTAGCTCGGGAACGGGATCTTGAAGCCTTTTGGACTATCGACGGATAATTTCAAGTTCGTGAAGGACGAGAAGTCGGGCGGTTATAACATGTCATTTGAAAAATAAAGGTACGCGTGGTGTTTGTAAATGGGCGTTTGTAAATGGGGCGTTAAAGAGGAGGAGTTTTAAAATAGAAGGATTCATTTTGTCGAACATTATATATAGTCATTGAGTTCTCTGAGAATATCTACTTGCTCAAGCCATGATATTTATAGGAAAAAATCCGGGCTTGCTGCACCAACGCAGGTTTTTATCACGCAGAGCCACTTCTCATGCTTGCTGTCCTTTTGCGAAATACATCGTTGGGAAATGGAGCCTTTCGTTGATAGAATAAGATCTTCAGTTTATTTCAGAGGCGCGAGAGCTGCATTGTTTACAAGGCGAATTCCCATGACAGCTGTAGTAATATCGTACGTAGGTCCTTCTCTACATAGAAGAGCGTTACCTATCGTCCTCCGGGAGGACATGCTGGTACACACCACCGCGCTTTATCCAGGATCAACTAAATCTTCTGCTGAGGTACTATATACTCAAAGGCTAGCAAAACCAGAGAAGTTTTCTTTTTCTTTTTCTTTTTTTGACTGTATATTTCTTTCCCGCACTTCATAATTACAATCTGCCATTACAAGTGTGGATAGAATGTAACAATTTAGCCATCCTCACCATAGCATATAACTATCCCCTCGAAATGGAACAAAAAACTAAAATTAAAAGCCCAAATTCTTAACAAACGACAACGTTGCCGAGAGCGGAAGGTAAATACTAGTTTAAACCCGTAAGGAGAACTATCGTTGAGAACATGCCCAAAGAGCACGCCCAAGAACTGTAAACTAGGCGCGAAGGGAAGTTGGGAGAGAAAACAATTAGGGTGGTGACGGTTTGCAGGAGTTAACAACAACGCTAGTTAGTCAAAACACGGTGGCACGCGTTTCAGGAGCATGGCAAAGCACATAAATCTGGGTCAGTTTCTAGAAGCAAGGCCTGGCTATTAAGGGGGCATTATTCTCAAATCCAGTATTATGCCCGATGACGTCCAAGGCGATGGATGATATTGAATCCTTCCCAATAGTGGTAAAGTGACCATGGCAGAGAACAAAAAGAGAAGGACGGAAACGAGGAAGAAGTCAGTTGAGCGAAAAAAAAAACGAAAAGAAGTTGTCATGTCCCGTAGTTAGCTTCCTGAAACTGAGGTTCAGAAATACACGATGTTGGATTGGGTGTGTGAAAATTCCAACATGAGGTGAGGTGGGCTCTATACTAAATAGAATCTATGACAGAACTCTTATGAAAAGAGCGGCAGAAAGAGAAAACTGGAAAACCACTGGCATAAAATAAAACATATGCGAGTTCCGATCAATTTGGCCGCAGGGGGTATGGTTTTGAAAAAGAGCGCTGTTGGGCATGTTTGTTGCATCAACAAACAACAACACAGCTTTATCCTGGGATATCATGGGCCATTGGCTTGGGGGCTTTTAAAAAGAAGAAAGAAACCTAAAGAAATTCCATGGCACGCAGTCGCATCTTTTGCGTGGGTTTCAAGGTTCGCAATCACCGAGCCTTCTTTTGAGGAGAAAGGGCATAAGCCGTAGCATCACTTTCATCCTGGGAGCGCTTGCGACTATGTCCATAGGATGCTTCAGCAGATGGGGCATTGCGTGACTGTTGACGGGCAGGCGAGGAGGGTGTGGGACGTTGGTAGTTTGCGCAAGCATGTGGAGCAGGTCCCATCGCCCGATAGTTGGGGTTTAGAGCTGCAGGAGAACGGTACATGGCAGGGTGGAATTGAGCTGGGACGCACTGCCTGAACTGCTCTGTCATCTCTTCGCGGTTATAAGGGCCCCTGTTGTACATAGACAGGTTCTGCCCAAGGCCGTGGATGGCATTGGGCGATTGGTTGCGCCCGAAGCCAAAGACTGGTTGACAGTGTCCTGCGAATCCACTGGCAGCCATAGAGTTGGGCCCGAAAGCTCGGCCAGTAGCCGGGGTATTTATCAATTGAGGATGCGTAGCCATTGGAAACATACCATGGTGCATGGGGTGCGCCATATTCTCCTGAGTGGAATGCTCCGCAGGGCTAGAAAATCGCATTTGCTGTGTCCCATGTGAGTGAACAGGAGGGCTACTGTCCAGGGTCATGTTTCGCACAGTGTTATTGATGGTGGTAGGGGTGCTATTATCCATAGCTAGGGTCTCCTTACGCGGAGTACTGAAGGGAGTACAAAGGCCTTCACGGGCCTCAGATGTGCGCTTGGCAGGGGTTGATTTGGAGTTAGATCTGGAGTGGCCCAGGGCCTTCTTTCCAGCGTTCATAACCTCTCCTTTGCGCTTGTTGAGATTTTTATTCGCCACGACACGCTAATTTACCGTCAGTGTGGCCTTTATTGAGACAAAAAAAAAAGGCTTGATACTTACATTTCTGGCGCAGACAGGGTCGTCAACGAAAGTAAATAAGTAATACGCGTCTAATAAATGCTTGCAAATGGTTTTCTGGGTCTGTAGAAATAGTTAGTAGGAAACATATCATCGTGACTAGATGAAGTTATACCCAAAGACACTCAATGATCTTCTCCATTCGCTCTCCGAAGGTCGGGATTTGGCCGGTAGTCTTTGCCTTTCCGTCATAAATGGCAAGCAGTGGCCCATGCTCATGGCGACTAATGCAGGAATCCTGTAAAATACACGTATCAGCATCATTTGCTCAAATAATAGATGTTATTCACAAACCAGGATATTCCAGCAGACAATCTCCATCCTGATCGGGCTTTGCTTCTGTTCGCGAAATGGACGGATCATGCCCTCATTGTCTTGCGCATACTCAACACTCTTCATCGCTTTGAGCATCTCGGTGACAATCTTACGTTTCGCCTCCGGGGTTCTTGGAATCGTAGGGTCGTAGTCCACTTGCACTTCAAAGGCGCGCCACGCGTTCGCCTCTTCGGCACACGAGAATTGGAGCTCAGGATCTGGTCCGCCCTGGCTGACGGGGGATGTTGGGGATGTGGGGACAAGAGGAGCTTCACGCTTCATCGTTTCTGGTTGGTGATCAGCAGCAGGAACAGCACCCTCACTGCCAGCTGTGTTAGTCGAGAAGGGAGTGCTCCGAACTGGAGAGGGATAAGAAGGCAGATGATGGGAATAATCCCCCTTTGTTCCAAAATCAGAAAACCCCCCAGTATTGATGGGGCAAGAGCGGAAATCAGGTTCCTGGCATGTCTCGCGCTCACAAGTCTCAGCGGGAGCTTTCGGTTGAAAGAAGTCCAGATTCACAGAATCAGTTGGATCATATTGGCTTTTCTCTAGGTCGCGCGCGGTACCATTCGTGTTATTGGATGGCGCGATAGCTGCGCTTTCGCTAACGGAGAGGGGGGCGTCTGGCGACGCGGGCTGATGGTTCTCAGCAGCCTGTTTGGGTGTAGAGTTGGGCTCGTCACAATCAGCTGGCGCCATTCCTGTAGCACTATGCTGCAAGCTGGAGGTATTTGATGAGGAAGCAACGGATAGACTTTCTGTTACGGGAGGATAAGGGGCCAAGTCTGGGATACCTATTCGATTAGAGTAGAACCGTTAGAAGCTTCGTTTTCGAATGGGTAGAAAATGCATAATAGTAGAGGGATTATATTATGAGGTCCTGCATTGTTTTGTTTATATAACTGGGCAAATGGATGGTAGAAAATTGGGTGGTTGGTCAGGAAACGAAAGGGGGTAGATTATGGCTGGGGCGGGGGGGAAACGGGGTTAAGGATAGCTTACCGTCTCTTCGCAACGCATCACCTAGCTTGGGGGCCAGATTGTCAGGAAAACCCGGGTCAACAGTTTCAAGGTCACCGTTCACCAATCCAGAGCACGAGTAGTCCTCACGAAAATTGTCCATGTGGTATCTATGCATATCGTTAGTATCACAGGAACCCAAAACCAACATGAGCAACGAGTCTCACGTAGCCTCATCTACAAAGGAGAATTGCTGCGCCATGATATTGTTGAAGAAACCTTCCATCGGTACCGGCTCCACCAGTGGTTGATAATAACCGGAAGAGTCAGTTGAATCCATCCTTCGATCTCCAACAAGACTGCTTGGTCTCGGAAACTGGAAATGGTGTGGACTTTTTCGCAATGTAGCGCTAAATCCCTGATTTGCAGACACACGACCAGAAAATGCTGGAGGCGTTAGATGAGTGCTAGGTCAGGCGTCAGTCATATTCTGCCACCTGACCACAGAGAGGAAAATACACTAATCAAGAAAGGAAACAGACTATAGGGGTGCGACACATACTTGTCGAAAGGGGCCAAGTGCTGAAGGTATGAGCAGTCGGTACCGATACTCACTATTGCTCCTCTGACCTGGACGACAGTTAAACGGTCCCCAGAAACAGGTTCAGGGTGTCACGAAGACAATGAAGGTCAAGCAGCTCTCAGCAAGGGGCTCGATGGGAGCTGGGAGTAGAAACCTTTTGGGAAGAGTTGGGCTCAGCGGCAGAGAATAGGAATATATTCTGAAGCCTGTATCGCCCTTATGGGGTTCGAATATCAGATGTCCAGACGACGAGGAACTCTCATAGACTATCCGAGTGATGTAAGGTCAAGTAGATGTAAAGAGCAGGGAAGCAAAAGGTTGTGAAGATTGGTAAATTCGAAGCTATCGAGAAGATGTAAAAAGAAAGAAACGAAGAGCATGGAGGGGGCGTTGAGAAGATACGAAATAGGGAGGCTGGCATCTTATATTCACATAGATTCGACCTCGTTGGGTGTGAAATTCACTGCAGGAGTAGTGCCAGCCACCGCATCGTTGGAAATAGGAGGCTGCCAGGTTATATGGTAGCGTAGGTAGGAAACCGTACAAAAAACGGATTTCTTTTTGATATCGAACCCCTTAGCGCCTTTCGAGTCCTATTGAACGAAGCGCCATATGACAGCCTGCGGGGTAGAAGTCCATTGTGGGGGACAGCTTGAACCGAAGATGAATAGCAGGCTACCCCTTTTGAAAGTCAATTAATCGCGAAATGTTATCATTATCAATCGAGGTAAAGAACAAAAGGTGTAGAAATCTCTCGATCTGCCGGTAAATACTAGTCGTCAGAAGTATTCCATTGAGTTATTGCTGTAAAAGAGGAGGCTATACATACTGGAAGCCATCAAATCTTCCACGCTAAGCCCAAGCTTCGCCGCAGAATCGCAAGAAACACCATGTATGCCAACTAAAGACATTACACACCCAAATCCCGGGAAAACCCACTGGGCAAGTTTGTTGCGCTTACAATCGATCAAACGCATCAGGAACTTTTTCTCTCTTTCCTTTTTCCCCCTCAGGCTGGGATAGTGACAAAAACAATAAATAGTTCCTTGCATCCGCAAATCCTTCGCTAGAAACCCTGTTGTCAACGGAAAATCCGCGTATAGATGAGTATCTGGTGCTTCTGGTAAGATCCTAGGGGATTGTACTGGTAATTCTCCACGTCCTCTGTTATATTGCTTTTATATTACATGACTGCTGCTTAAGCTGACGGGCTGGGTTTGTAGAACACCGGGCAATCTGCGAATTCTCTTCGAGATGGCGTATCATGGTGGAGAGTCGCTATCACCTCTGCACTAGGGTAAAAGGGAAATATAAGTAGAGGAAAGAGAACTAGACGTAAAACTGGATTCAGCAATGTCGACAGCAAGCGCCCGTCCAGGCAGTGGTGATGAGGCATGTTGTTGAAACACACAAGAGAGGAAGTCTGTAGTAGAAAATGATGGAGAAGAGAAAAGAAACGAAAGCTGAGATCAAGGCTACAAGCCAGTCATAACTAGATAAATTGCACCCTCATGCGATCCTAAAGAAGAGCTGGGCGCATGGCTAATTGCGAAGATGTAACGTATAACGTACATCTATTTGGCCTAGCCATAGTAAGCGTGGAGGAAACGAGATGTTTGCTTCTGGGCATGTTCTTGCTACCTTAACCACGTAGAAGCACAAAGATGTCCATGGAACATGGGTATATTAATCAGGAATTCACAATTGGGAGTTCCAGGATAGATGGAGGCAGAGGTGAGTGATCTAATCGAAGATTAACTACTTGAAGATGGCATTGAGCGGGCGTCCAAGTTAGCCACGGTGCTGCGATAGAGCACTTGCAAGCAAAGTCGCTACCTCAGCTTCATGGGGGAAATCTTCATACAGCACAATATGAAGCAATTGAGAGGGACTCTAGAAGGAAATCAAAATTGAACAGGTTGTTACTGGATAGCTTACATCCATCCATTGAAGCTGACTTGGGACAGAGGGTCTTCCTTTGGCTGAGGCTGAGGATGGTCAAATTAAGCTCACCCTGCCAAGCATCACCCGCATTTGCAGCCGTAACTAGTTAACCACTCATTTTTGTTTGTCGAAACGCGACAATGAACAACAAATGATCTTCAAGAAAAAACGACCAGGAAGAATAAAGCGGTTTCACGAGAATGGGCCATTGTCATTTGTTACTTTTACTTTTATATGTTGCGCTATTGTATTTCCATAAAACATGGTTGTCAAAATTCTTCCAATCGCAAAAAACTACCTTAACACGCCTAAGTTATAAAGACTTGACATGCCGTCGGTGTTCACATTATGTTTTGCTTTTATGGGGGAATGTGACAGGCTATTAATAACATGGCTGCGGTTTGTGCCAGGCTATCTACTGCATGGTTAGGAGAAAGTCAGATATTTCCTTGTCGGTCAACCACGCGGTCCCCACGGCAGAAGAAAATAATCTTCGGGGGAAAAAATACTCGCAGATGTCGCGTCAGGTTACCCAGGGAAGACAAACGGTAATTATCAACTTTGGACTTGGTGAATTGTCCTCGAATAATATTATTTTCCATGATTCTTATGCCTCCTATCAAAGCTGACTTCTTGAGTTTTGAAGCAAGTAGCCAGGGTGTAAATATTCACACAAATGTCTAGCAGCTTATGTACTTAGAGATCTGATCTGCTGTACCAAGGTGGTCACGGCTTTTCGCAACATTGACGATTTTCTTCAGCTTGCTCATCCCTCTTCACTTCAATAGCGTGTTAGGGTTATTTCCTAAAATCCATTCATAGAGTTCGCTTTCGCCCACGAAGCCTGAATCATCGGCGATATATATTCGAGCGCCTGAAGTTCTGGCCATTTGGCCGGACGCAGCACGAATCATCGCTTCCCATAATGGGTCGCCAGGGGAGATAATGAAACGGGGTAGAGTAAGACGATCCTATAGATCATCACAAGTGCTAAGCTGCATGCCCGCGTGCCAACGAATTTAGCTCGTTGGAGCCTGGAGGAAGTTGATGTGCGATTGATATGGCACCTCTAATGGGGTGCGGTCTTCAGCCAACGGTTGAACTTGAAAAAAAAGACTACTTCCCATAGTTTATAGGCTGTGATGACACAGTGCCAGTTGGGGGTTTATATATATATAAAAGCGTCCATGCCCAAAAGATGAGCCTGCTGAACTTTCAAAGTGCTTAAAGTGCCCATATTTTTAGGCGATTGTCGCTGCTGGCGTTGATATCCATAGTTTCGTCGTCGTTGAACGATGGATACTTTTTTTGACCAGAGCAGGTGGCTAGAACACCACCCGTATGGTGGAAAACGGCACTGGTCACAGGGTCTATTGTATGCTGTCAGTCCATCGAGCTCGTTCGACTTAGTGTGAGGATGCGCCACTTACCATCATGGACTTGCTTCTCCCATTCCGGCTCTCTCCCTTCCCCAGTAACACTTGCGGGATCCAACCACATTCTTAGTGCTCCATCAGTCCCACCAGCCCAAATTTCCGTAGCGTTACGTTCCCCTCCAGGAACAATATCCGCTTTGAGTTTTTGGTTTGTCATTCCTCCCCTCCCCTCCAACCAACCCACTAATTGGCCAGTGACTCGAATATCGTACACGAGAATCCCACTACTTTTACGCTCGATGACGAATAAATATCGGCCACATGGGCTCCAGAGCACCTGCGTAATGCCCTTACCTCCAACACGTGAATCTGCTGCCGTACCTTCGACACTGAATGTGGCAATAGTATCACCGCATCCATTGGACGCGTAAAGGCCTATGTATCTCGTGAAAGTACCCGCTGCTAAAATCCCATCCCCTGATGGGTTGATTGCCATGGTGGAAACGATACCCTTCATCCCGACACCACCACCAACGATCTTCTTCCGTTTGCTTGGAATGGTCTGGAGTCTGGACACGGGTCCGTCCGTTCCAGGACGAGACACGTCGAATAGGCATATCAAACTGTCCGAACCTGTCAGAAACTGAGTCCCGCTAAGGATAGGAGGATAGAGGATGCAATGGGGCGTAATGAAGGCCTCTGTTGTGGGTGATATAAGACTATACGATGCTGAGAATCCCGGATATAAAGCTGAAGTCAATCGAATAGGGTGGTCTCTGACAGAAGAGAGCAGCAGCGTCGAAGATGCATCCTGTAGTCCGTAGAACGGGTAAATAGCCATTGCATATATTGGTTCTGCCGATGGAATTGTATGATACGGTTCCAGTTCAAGGGGTTCCTTTCTCTCTTCGATCAAATCGGCAGGTCTATACATTTGGGATCGGTTAGATGAGATCCGCATAGCGTCAAGCGGGGGAAACCACATACAGCACAAATGTTCTGATAGTGTTATCAGCAGAATTCGTAATTATACTGGTCCCATCTGGTGTCCTATCGAGAAAATATTTAGCTTCAGTCTGGCCAAGTCTTCAGGGCTAGAAAGGATTTAAAAAGTCCCCTCGTACCAGGAAGCTTCTTTGAAGTAGTTGGATATCGCCCTGTTTTCTCCCGCAACGGCATTTTTCTTGCCTAATGACTTTTCAGGCGTCGAAAAGGCATAATTCCGAGTTGAAGCTGCGCATGTTAAGGTGAACGGGGGATTAGTTTGCTTCATGGTGGCCAGAATTGCTTGCAAACGCTGGATGTTCCAGAGGAGATCAGATCCTTTCCTTGACGGGCACAGAATAGGGAATAGGGGATGGATATTCCCACTCAATCACGGATTACAGTCAGTATACTAGGGCAACAATCCTGTATAGAGACAGCATTGGGCCAGACACTGATAGGATAGGATAGTGTAGATGAAATGCAGGCCAACTCCAGGCCAAATGCAATCCCAACAGAAAATGTATCTAAACATCCCAAATACAACTTTGATTTTGTCGATCCCTGTCCGTCCCGCCATGAATTAAACAGACCTTCACCTATTTATATACGGACCTCGCATATTGTTAAGGTTGGTTGGTGCGCTTGGATCCTTGGCCCAAGCGCGCGCCTCGGGAAAACTTTCCACCTCCCGCGCCTGGGACAGCTTTTTGGCGAACACAAACAGCTTGCATCACTCGCTGTTTATGGATGCAGCAACTCTTCGGTCCTCTGCTTTGCCCTTATCACATCGCTCTTTAAGAGGGACCAGCCTCATTCCTTTTCTTCCTTTCTAGTGAGCTATTCTCCGTTTGATTTACCAGTTGGTCGGTCATGTTCTCGGCGCGAACTTCTGCACCCTCCTTGGGAGGGTTGACCGTCAATACATCTTCTGCCAACTCTTTGTTGTAAGTAAGACTTATACTATTTTTCTCCCCTTCTGTTCCTACGGATACTCTTGTTACCTATCCATACCCGTTTGTGGTGGTTAGAACTATCGCCTTAGGTGTGTTCGTGGACGAAGGTTTCTGTCCATGTCGCAGATGGTGGATCGCACCACCCAATTGGAACGAGAGGAGGCAGAAGGGGGGACAGAACTTGGTGAATTGAGAATGCTTGCAACTTACTTTCAAATTCTTTCAATAGCGGAGCAAATACGACATCGACCGCACCCGCAGCCACCACCGGCGGTAGTTTATTTGGCGCTGCTGCCACCACCACGCAACAACCACAGTCGGGAGGACTTTTTTCAGGTCTAGGCGCACAGAACCAACAGCAACAGAAACCAGCTGGAGGAAGCATATTTGGAGGAACTTCTCAGCAAACACAGCCAGCTTCTGGGAACCTCTTCGGAAGTACACAACTACAAAGTGGAGGATCGCTTTTTGGGGCTGGCACCCAGCAGCAGCAGCAACAACAACAAACTCAACAATCAGGAGGGTTGTTTGGTGCTACACAGCAAAAGCCCACAGGGGGTTCTCTCTTTGGTGCAGCTACGTCTACTTCTCAACCGCAATCCGGCGGATCGCTTTTTGGCGGACTTGGGCAAGCCACAGCCACCACCTCGACGTCTGCTGGAGGTTTATTGTGAGTAGTTTTAGCCCTTCACTCGTGCTCCTGTGTGTTTTGTATATTTACTAAAGCCTGTATATTTTTTCATAAGTGGTGCTAGTCAGCCCCAACAGCAACAGCAGCCACAACCACAGCAAGGACCATCGCTCTCGTTATTCGGAAACCGAAATACGACAACACAAGTAGAACAGAGGCCAGGAGGCTCAACAGTGCAAGGCGTCAAAATTGACGTCTCAAACCTCGTCCCTACAACCAAATTCGAAAGCTGTACAGATGAATTAAAAAAGGAAATCGAAACCATTGACACCTTCATCCTCAACCAAATCCGCATGTGCAACGAAGTTTCCGACATCCTCCCCACTATCTCTTCACAAGGCGCCCTAGTGCCTAACGATGTGGAGTTCGTCCAGGGAAAACTGGACACCCTCCAAGAAGCCCTAGAAACCGACGCCAGGGGCATTGAAAATGCCCGCAACCTCGTAACACGGGATGCCGGGGAGGCTAAGCTTGCCTTCCGCGCCCTTGACAATCTCCTCCTGCCCCTCCAATACCAACCCACAGCCGCAGACAGATGGCTAGCACCAAGCCAACAATCCCAGTCTCTACCAGGCCGCTCTATACGCTCCGGGCTCAGCGCGCGCCACATGCTCGCCCTCCCTGAGGATGCGGAAGCGGACTCCAGCCTAGGCGCCACAGGCGGCCCGACTAATCTGGTCGATTACTTCTCCCAGCGCGCCGATGACATGGATGTTGTCGTTCAAAAATACAGGAAGAGTCTGAAAGAGATCGAAGAGTACCTTCGCGGCGTCGAGGCGTCACTTGCGCAGCAGATTAATGACTTATCTTCTCGGAGCAGGGATGGTGGAGCCCCATCCCATGCGTCCGCGACCAGAGCGAGTGAGCTTGCCGCAACACTCGGGGATGTGGAGACGGCCATCCTTGGTGTTGCGGGCAGGGTGGGTGGTGTTCGAGAAGAGGTCCAGGAACTTGTTTTGGGGCCCTTGGGTATAGGTGGTCACGGGATAACGAATGGATGGTGAATAACAATAAATAATTAAATAATTATATATTTTAATGAAGTGGACCAAGATTTGCCTTTTTGAGCGCAGTATGCTTGCTATGTGGGTAATTTTCTTCCTTGCAAGCCCCATTTTGTATATTTTAGTTGTTTATGATAGGGGGATCCCCAACCTACGTTGGCAGTTCGGAAATGGCGCGATTGCGATCACTGCCTCCAAATGCTAGTGTTAAGGGGCGTTTGTTAGGCATAGAGGTTTGGAAGGTCGATTGGGAAAGCAGCTCAAATGGATATAATGAAGTATTTCCCATAAATGTTATGAAATTATCATATCTCTAGCCTCCTAGAACCATATTTTTTATGCTTCCCTTGAAACGTTAACTGCACAAAAAAAAAAGGGTGGGTGGTGAGTTCTTCCTCCTCCGATAAAGCTATGTATGCATCATACTATCAATCAAACGTACTGATGTAAGGAGAAGGTATTCATGTTTATATATTAGTTTTATCATCGGGGGTTACCATTTCCCATATGGCTTCCCACCCCAAAAAGGTTGGATGGCGGATTAGAACTAGAGGCAGCGTGATCAGATGGACGGCCAATTTTTATCCCTGCGCTTAGGCCATAGTTACTAGAGCTACTATGAGAAAATCTACTATCAACTCCTTCGGGCGCGAAACGCTGCGGGACTGGAAAAATCTGATTGTGAGTTGTATAGCCGTTCTGTTGACGCTCCGGGAATTCAGACCTCTGGGTCGAAGGTAGAGGCCCAGGGAGCCTGGTTCGATGTTGTGGTGTAACTGGTGGCAATGTGGCTAGAAGATATTAGCACAAGCTACGCCATATAAGTGGACAAAACATCTACACCTACCAGTTCGAAAAGACGGCGGTAGGCCACTAGGAGGAGGCATCGCAGAATCTACGCGATTTTTTGAACCACTTCCACTCCCACTTCTTTGATGACGGTGCAGCTGTTCGATTCCTATGTTTGTTGCTGGATATCTCACAGGACTACGTCGAGGAGATGGCGCCAGGGAGGTTACGGGGCGGAACAAGTCCTCCGTGCTCGAGTGGGATTTGGGAGCGCCACCTAAGGACTCAAGCACCTGGGTCACGGAATCTGACGCTGCTGTTTGGATCTGGGACCTCATTGCCCGGCTTTTAAGAAGGTTGTAGAGGTTCGATATTTGAGCATGCTTCTTGCATTTTTCTCGATATATCTCCACTAACTCGTGGTTCTTCTTCTGGAGCTGCTCCTGGTTCATTTGCATCTCTACATAGATCGTAGTATACATTAGCGGTTGTTCAAGAAAGACTTGGTTAAAGAGGGGGAAATACCTGATATGCGGTTTTGGAGATTTGATATTTCTGAATTCGCGTCATGAATAACCTTGTCCATCTGTTGGTTTAGTGCACCATATTTCTCGGTCAAACTTTTGCCGAGATATTCCTGATAAAAGCTGTTTTACGTCAGATCCCGCCTGCTATCAACATACAATGTGTCAGGCATACATTTCTTGGGCAGACTGATATGTCCAGAACGCCAAAGCACGCCCAGCGCACTCCATAATGGTATGGGGATCAAGTCCACTCAGCACGCTGGTTTTGTAATCTTCGCTAGGGGTGAGAACAGTGGAGACTACATCGTCAGGGTTGGCAAGACTGGCATTGCAGGCAGGGCATTGCCGCTCGGATGTTGTTGGTCGTGAGAGCCCAAGGTGGTCGGCACACTGCAGACAGAAAATATGTCTAACCAGATAAACGGTTAATTGCATACCCTTTAAATCTTATCCAAGGAAGAGGGTACGAACGAGCACGTAGTGACCACTGCCCTTTCACTTAGGGTTACTCTGCACTTTAGAGAGTTGCATCGGAGACAAAAGTCCAATGCTTGAGCCATGACAGAAACCAAACAGAACCATGAGGCTATGACACCCCCAAAGACCCGCTCAACCTATGAAAAACACTGAGCTTTGTATATCTAAAATCGATGAAGTGAAGTGGGTGTTGAAGAAACATTGAAGTCGGGAGATGGAGGTGGATTACCGGATTAGGAAACTATCATGCTTCCAAGGTTGAGCTGCGCTGAGCCGCATATATAGATTTCAGGGGCGACAGGACTCTATTAGCATGGCGAGAAAGAAATTATTCGTGCCCGAAATAGATGTGATACTTGCTGGGATGAAACGGACAATAAAAAAATATATGAATTGGAATACGCCAATCCGTTTATCAGAACCATCGAACGCCCGTGCTCATACAGATATATCCAACCGCCTGTTAAAACGCCGGGAATAGTAATAGCTTAGAAAAAGAAAGCATTTCCTTTGTTATCCCTCCTAATACTTCCCATCTTTTCCACAAATTCCTCTCCCGGCTCGTATTCTCTCCAGAGGCTAGCGGGGAAGATGTGCTTGTTTCTTTCAAACCATCTGCGGTCCACTACTTTCGTCAAGGCTGGTTCCATATCCGCACCTTCAAGGGTGGGTTCTGATTCTGGATCATCGCTCGACTGCGGCGGCGCCGTATTTGAGTAGTCGAAGAGCAGCCCTCCCGCATTGGTGAAACTTGGGACTCGGTTCGCAATAAAATAATAAAGCTCATAATGCTGGGAATAGTGAGTCAGCGAAGGCGTCGTCATGCGATTAAGTGGAAGGCACCAGATGGAAGACACAAGAAAGCAGGATGGGTATTGTGGACATACGTGTGGAATGATTACGTTCCCTCTAACGCACATCAAATCATCTACACCAACCCTTGCCCATTCCCTACGATTGTCCCTACGACCTCTTCCACTCCTCCCACCCCCGCCAGCACCGCCAATGCCCAATTCTGCGCCTACTTTCCGACACCGTTCAAGAAAGACCCATATCGGATCGCCTTTCTTCAATTTCACTGTCCCAGCAGGAATATTCGTCCCGTCGTAAAACACAAACGGGATCAATATCTCAGTCGCTTTAACCTTCTCCTGCAGAGCTAAGAATTCACGTCGGAGGGCGTCTCGGGTTTGCGCTTCGGCCTCCAGAGCAGACTTTGTGATAACTTTGGGGGGGGGAGCAGATAGGTTAGGATTGGGCGCGATGCGTCGTGCGGGGGGATTTGGGTTGTCTTCTGCGGGAGTTTTCGATGGGGAGTTCCTATCGCTACCATCCGCAGATGGAGTGCCAGAAGCCTCTAGAGCATCCTCCCCGTCATCATCGCCAAATGATAATTTGCTTTTCGAGAGATGTCCTAGCTTCTTCTTCTTCTTTTTCTTGGGTGGTTGTCGCGCAGACCCATTTTGGGGCGTCAGTGCACTGTTCTTTGCCTATTAGCTACACTAAAGATTGTAAATCGGCCTTGGCTGCACAGGGCAGTATCAACGTACCCATCCGTTGTTTCTCCACCGGAAGGTGTCGCGCTCCTAGAGTTCCCTTGAGCAAATCTCCCAAAAGATTTATCATGAGCCTCTCTTTCCTTCTGTTCGAGAACCTCAGCTCGCCTTTTCCGGAAGTCAGAGAGGTGAACCAGGCCAACAGTTTGCGACTTTAGCAGGTCTTCGGCGGAGGCGGTCTGATTCATAAACGAACGGGGAGTCGACGTTCGACTTTGAGGGTCTGAAGACGGTGGCATCTTGTACAGGAAAATGTAGACAGAACTTATCGCCAGCTAGCATCGGATTTTCGACCCTCTAATCTGAAGTTGGTTGTTGCGAACTTTGTGTTCGAAAGTGAAATATATATATCACGTGATATATATGCTATCTCCGCCAGCTCTGCTTGCGATTGGGGCTGTTGGAGATGGTGCACAAGCTTGATCGCTGCTCCACTTTATGTGTTCTGATACGTTTATATATTCCTATATTTTCAATTCGTTGAACACTTCACTTGGTAAATTAAGCTTGTCTTTTTCCATTTCGCGATTACACTAGTCTTTTGTCTGATGTCCAATTTAGCTATTTGCAGGCGAAGCTAAAATACCGACCTGAGTCGCAAGAATCGTGTCGCGGCATCTCCCTGAAGTTTCCTCTCTCCGGCCTCATGGCGACGATGATGGAGGAGGACGATGACGAACTCTACGATCCCACATATATTGCACCTTCCACTGAGGCATCCAAAGACGCTGACGCACATTCTGGCGGAGCAAAGCTAGCCGAGGCAGAGAACAAGGCACAGGAGGAAGAACAAGAGGTAGAGGAGGAGGAAGAAGAGGAGGAGGAAGATGATGTTAGTCTCAAGCAAACTGAAGTTTTCGTTGTTCGGAAACACTAACTGTGTAGTAGGATGACTTTAAAATCATAACGGAGGCCCCTCCGGACGCCGTAATTGAGTCAGTACTCAGTTCGAATTAACTGTTTAACGTTTTATGGCACGCGCTGACAATAAAAACACAGGCAACCTTCCCGACATTCTATCCTTCGAAACGAATCTCTACGACCTTCGTCGGTGGAAGCAACAAGCGCACCTAAACCTTCTACTCCATCTATCGCCCCAAAAGTTGAAACACCCACTCTCCCTCACGCCACAGCCGCGAAGCCAGTAGCCCCTCAAAAACCAGGTTCAGCTTACCCTGCTCAACATACATCAACTATAGATATCAACGCAAACCCCGTCCACCCTACTACCAACAAACCTATTCTCTCCACCGATTTAGATGCCGATTTCCCCACAGAAAATGACAAACCATGGCGCAGGCCGGGATCAGACATGACCGACTATTTCAACTATGGTTTTGACGAATTTACTTGGGCGAGTTACTGTTTGAAACAGCAGACATTACGAAAGGACATCGTTGACCAGAAAAAACAAATGGAGGAAATGCACGCATTCCTAGGTGGCGGTCTACCTGGAATACCAGGTCCAAACCCAGGCCCAGGTCCAGGGACTCCAAATATAGTGCCTGGTGGAGGTACTCCAGGCCCGGGCCCAGGACCACCGCAAGCCACCGGTCCTCCTCCCAATGCAATACCAGGAATGCCTCCTGGTATGGGTGACATGTCGCAGGAAATGATGCAAGGAATGTTTACGAGCATGATGGCGCAGGGACTGGATCCTGCCTCAATGGATCCGATGACTTTCATGCAGCATGCACAGGCAATGATGGGAGGAGGCCAGCCTGGGCCCGGTCCGGGTCCGGGCCCGGGTGGTCCTAGCGGTCCGCCGGGTGGCCAGCCAGGTTTTGGTGGACCAGGTCCCGGACAACCGTTTGGTGTACCAGGCGGAGGCCAGCCGCAGATGGGATACGGCGGATACGAGCAAAGGGGTGGTGGATTTGTTAGAGGGAAGGGTGGGCGAAGGTGGTAACAAAGGTCCACCAAGAGTTAAATTGCTTGATGCTTTTTTATTTGAAGGCTGATATTTCCTGGGTTGGATGATATTGTCCTTGCTTTATATAGGCTTTCTCCTGTTTGATTTGGGCTATCTAGGCGTTGTTTTCGTAACCAAATGGACCATACAATGAAATATAAAATGAATTTTCCCCATGGACATTGAACAATTCTTAAATGTCCATTGGCAGTTGATACCGCGGTAGAAATTCCGTGTTAAAGCACGTTAATGAAAATCCGGGGAAGTTTGCGTTGTTTGCAGGAGAGTGCGCTATACCATATTTGGCTTCGAGCTCCTGCTGCAAGTCTTGGCGTTAGTTCTGGAAATTTCTCAGCAGAAAAAAAAGTTGAACAGCGAGACTCAATTCTCTCCTTCTTTCACCTGCATTGTATATTTCTCCACGGCCCCTTGTTGATTCCCTTACCGCCTCTACGCCTCTTTAACAACTATTTCAATTCTATTCCCCTACTCCATACTATACCTCAGCCCTCAAAATGGTACGCTATCAATTCCCCGGATTCGAACCATTTCAAAATCTGGGCCACCATTTCTACTCCGAACCTACCCCCTTGTCCCCATTATCACGCGTCATAATTATTGTGCATTGCTGACGGAATCGTAATGACAACCAGGCTCTCCGCAGCGTTAAGAGCCTCGCTCCCCTCTTGGACCGTGTCCTCGTTCAAAGAATAAAGGCCGAGGCCAAAACTGCTTCTGGCATCTTCCTTCCCGAGAGCTCCGTCAAAGAACTGAACCAGGGCAAGGTTTTGGCTGTAGGACCAGGTGCTCTTGACAAGAAGGGCAACAGAATTTCAATGGGTGTGGCTGTTGGTGACAAGGTTCTGATTCCTCAGGTATGTCACACTCCCCACAAACCATCAATGTTCGGAGTAGAATAGTTGCGCGGTCTGGAATTGTGTAGATTTGGCACTTGGGATGGAAACTATAAAGGATTTACGAATCCGTGGGTGTACAATGACTAATGAATCCCTCTTCTCTCCTTATAGTATGGAGGCAGCCCCGTTAAGATCGGCGATGAAGAGTATTGCCTCTTCAGAGATTCTGAGTACGTTATACGTGCACCTATCTGCCCATCAAAATCGCTGCTAATGTGAGACACACGTCTATAGGATTCTTGCAAAAATCAACGAGTCATAATACCATGTTGAATGAACCATTCATTCTTGAGAATCTGAGCCTGTACATTATGTAATATCATGAAATTCGGGAAACAACCGATCGATTACAGGAGGGAAACTTATATATCAAGAGATATATCATGGGAGTGGAAGGGAGCCAGAAACAGATTATGCGACGAAAGGCCGGATGTTGTTGCAGCGCCCTCGAAACACCACACCATAACTGGTGCTTAAAAGCGCAGTTACTAATCACCTGCACATCGCTCTATCTGGCTTTCTTTTTGAGCTGCGCCGCACCCACCGACCCTCCCTTTCCCACTTGTGAATTATCTGTTTGAATACGTTCTAGCCCATCGTATTAGTAGTGTTTTATATGTTATTGTATTTCCTTACATCTGTTTACTAAAGCATAATTTAAACATCACGATCTCCTCTCATCCCCTCTTTTGCTACCACTTTGTCCATCATCACTTTGGAAATTAGGAAAATATATGAGAGTGCAACTCGGCCATTACTGAGGAGACAATTCATACTTGAGCCTCCTACTTTACTCCGGAAATCGGTAACGAATGGCACAACTGAGCCAGAGAAATTCATCAACAGCTTTCCGTGACTGATCCAACTTCCAAAAGTCGCTGCACATGGTCTCTATCATGCTAAGCTAACCATGCAGCCCATAGAATAGAGGCGCAGTACTCCTTTCATATGTCCAGGAAACAAAACGGGGGGGAGTACAAACGTTTTTCCAAGAAATATTCTCGAATTAATCATTTCCATAACATACTGTGTGTGCGGCGCGGAAGAACTGTTCTATGGAACATGGGATGCGTCCTGCACACAAAGGCTAGATGCCGCGGATGTATACTGTTGGATGACCTTTTTCGATACGCTCCCAAATTATCCTAGACGAATGGGTAAGTTATAACCGAAGAAATTCCCGTGATTTTTCTGGTGTCCTCGAGCTCCGCCATTTCCGTTCTATTATTACGAATGGGGGGATATGTAATGGCCAATCCACCTGGAAGTATATGCAGCTGCCATACAGATACTGGGTTTGGGCATGAAGCGCCATAAGCGCCGCCAGAGTGCCTTGCCGCCAGAAGACGCTTGCAGTTGAAATTAAGTTTCCTAGCCCTAGCTTCCTTTGGGCATGATCTGCTCGCCAGGCTCCAGGCGTCAGTTTACAGTTGAAATTGCAGCTTACGGTTTCTATCAGAATGCAGCAGAATAATATCAAAACCCTCAAAAGACCTTTGAACTTAGGGATGGCAGGTACAACAAATTTAACTGGCTGATCCGATCCCAGGGATTGGCATGTCAAACATGCTGAATGCAGTCTTTGTTCCACTCTGCTTTCTGCAGGGGATATTACTTGCATTTGTATTGTTCTTGCTAATTTGTTCACAGCAATTACTGTGCCACACTCTTAGAGCTTTGTTTATTTGCGTAATATTCTGAGATATTAATTTCACAAGCATCCTAGTATTGCATGCCGTTTATAGGTTTCACATTGAGCTTGCCTTACATCTCAAGATTTTAAGGTGAACTACGCTGAAATTGACCCATCTTCTTTGTTCCTACTGGCTCTATTGTTTCTGGGCATATCATAACATGGTGATATATATATTTTCATTTCCCCTAAACTTTCTCACCACAGATAAAATCGAACAAACGTCCCCATGTTGTTTGATTCTAATCATCCTAGAGTTCATTCCATTTCCAACAGAGCAATAAGCATCCTATTGAACTTTTAAGGTGTTATATCTCTCTTGGAAAATGATTCCTCGGACAGAACTGTTGGCTATTTTGGCCCTGACACTTCTGAGAACCGTTCAGGCCAGTCCCGGCTCTCCAATCACTTCCGATACTAGGGCTAATCAAGGAGATCTCTCACCGATCGGACCTCTTCGCTTCCGTCGAGATATCCAAGATGCTACCGCTCCCATTGTCGCCATTGCCACAGACGATTCTTCAGGAAAAGTTGAGATACCAGAAGCCATACAAGTGCAATGGCAAGATGAAGACGCAAAGGACAATGGGTATCCCATACTCATTCGTCGCAATCCACTCATGCCGCCAAAGGAACCCCCATTTGGTCAAAGCTCGGGAAAATCATGCAACTCCGGAACATTAGGCTGTCAACCGACGAAGTTTCGTATGAGAGCCCGTGATAACGACTTCGAGGAAGAAGGAGCAGACCGAACTGTGCTTGCTGCCGCCGTCCCTCCTCCACAGCTTATTCCAGCATCTCCAAGCATCAACCCATCGGCCGGCAAAGAAGAGGATTCAATACTAAAGACGCCGCTCTCTCGCCTTCAATCTGGCGAAAAGGACACGTACCCGAACCCGGATTGGTTTCCCCTAAAGCCAGAAAAACGGCCCCCTCCACCGCCTGTCCGCGCTGGACCTGTCAATGCCTTTACGGATGACCCAAATGCGAAAGACCCATCACCAGGTCCCAAGCAAGGGCAATTGATGTTCGGTCTGGGTCCTGCTGTGAATGTTCCTCCCCCGCCAGCTCCACCGGAAGAAGGGACTGTGGATAAGCTCCTCTCACGGAGTGGGCCGGTATCCAGGATTATGAGTCTCCAATATCGTGAGAAAGCAGCGGATGAGCGTAACAATAAGGCCTCGCAAATCCTAGACCTGAAGGTTACCAAATCCTCAGATTCCCCGTCGGAGGAGGTGCAGGATGCGGCGGATACAATCGGAGGCGGTATTTCTTTGACTGAACCTAGGCACCGTGAATACCCCTCTACACCGAAACTCAACCAAAGATCAGAAGCAGATGCCAATCCGCTGCCGAAACGGGACACCACGATGTTCATTCCACCAGGGCCAGCCAGCCGTCCGAAGCAGGGAAGTCCTTTAAGGGACAGTTGGGAACAGAGAATCTCTCTGTGTGGAGGTGTCGAACAATCATTTGGTAAATCAGCGACGTGTGTCAGATGGGCGGACAGAAAACCGAACAGGAGCCTATAGAAGGTTTCATCCTTGTCAGCGGATTCTGAGGTGGGCACTAAGGGGAAACAAAATCAACTGCAAATTTTATCCTATTGTCCACTCGCGCCTCGTTTGCTTTCTTCCCATTTCGATGCATTCCCGGGCGGGTTGATAGAAAACCCTTTTTGCAATTGTCACCCTTCGATGTGGTCTTGTTATTACTTTATTGCTTTTGTTTCTAAATTTTCTTCCTACTCGCTTATAATCCCTGCTTTTCCTTTCTTGTCTTAGGTTCGGGGTCCCATGTTAGGTTGACACTGCGAAACACGCAGGAAATCTCATTGTTTTCTTAGGAGCGAGTTTCTGAACACCGTGAGATTTTACCCCTATCTTCTAGTTGTGGATGCCAGCTTCACCACGAGCACTTCCGCAGCGAATTGTCACATGTAGCCTCCCGAAAAGAATTATGAGAATTGCAACAATTAAGTATGGGTATGGGATAACAATGACATAGACCCTTTTGTAAATTATTTAAAACAAACAAAATATGGAGAAAATGGCAACATAAAAGAGCTTTAACATAGTGCAGTTCTAGTAATATATATTACCGCAAGTAGGTCTGCCCAGAAGATTCTGCCCCTATATTCACCCCTCCTCAACAGCGAGTCTTCGTTCCACACGTTCGACCACACGTTTCCCTAGAATTGGAGTAAAGATACGCTGTCGGTCAAAAGGGTTCATACAAACGAAGCGGGAAAGTGCAGCTTGTGGACTTTGAGCTCCTCGGGTGGGATGACCACCGGAAGAGTGTAATACACCGTCATCATCGCCATCCTTATAATGATGTAATAGGACCATTTGTGCTGCAAAGGTATTTAAACCAGATTGCCGGAGGAAATCCTCGCTGGGTGAGGGATCTGCCGGGAAAGGAACGTTTCCCGGCCGGATAAGCTCATGGGCAACATCGGAGGTGGACCATGGAGTCATAGTGTAATGTTTATTCGCAAGACTAACTAGCCAGTTTGTTATGTTGCTCGCACCGTTCATGACGGGAAGGACGTTTATTCTTGAAAAATAGCCGAGTGATTCGCAAAAGGTCCTCAGTGATTCGATAGCTTGAACTGCTCTGTTGTCCAATTCCATATCCGCATGCGGCACTATCGAGCTACTCTTATTTGGAGTAATGATAGGGATGCAAATGAACACATATAATTCCTCGTACAGAAGACAAATATCGGAAATGCGCCGACGAACTGGATAGTTCAGTTCTTGTGCGATTCCCTGGCCGCTTGGTTGCTGGCCCGGCAGGTATTTCTGGGTTATTTCTTGAGTTGTGGTTAGGATAGCACCTGCGGTAGGGGAAAATGATATATCCGCTTCCCGTCCTTGGTTATTCTCTGGACTATTGGGAAATTTCTGAATTCGTATCAATCGCGTCTGGTGGAAACTCTCAGCCCTGGTACCAGCCGGATACAAGTTTGGTAAAGTATTGTCATCACGGAAAATCAGATTGCATGCTGGGGATAGAGATTCAAGATTATAGATTACAGCACGATGTGTCCGTAGAAGGGAGGTAGATAAAACAAATGTCAGGACACCTTGTGGCCGGGTGGTGCTGGGAGGTGCCAACAGCGGGAGTGATATGGTTGTAACATTTGACTCAGTTGCCCTCTCTGGAATTTGCGTGCTAATCTTAGGATGCCGGTCACTCTGTGCCAAAGCCGGTGGATCAGGTAGTTCTGGGCGGACGAAGTATGGATATCTATCCGAGCTAGAAGCCGTAGTCCTTTGACCACGTACCTCCATAAAGTTGGAAAGTGAGTCCAAGGGGGAAAACATGGACGACATGCCTGAGCCAACGAGTGTGGCTTCCGCAGATTTGACCTTAGCTCCAAGATTCGTAGCCTTGGGATTTGCTACTATATTTTTAATCCCTTGTTTCTTGTCTGGAGGCGAGTATCCCCAGCTAACCCCTTTCCCTTCATCCTTTCCAGCACCATGCTCACATCCCTTTCTTTGTAGTGGAGGAACCGACCCTACCTCTCCATAGACCGTTCGCGGCGAAAGTTCTTCATCGTCATCCAAACTTGAAAGGCGAAACTCATTATGACAAACTACCTGAGGAGTTTCGTGTTCAATTTTCGAACCGCTTATATGACGACCAATCTCACGGAGAAGCCCACTCGAGGAATCCTCAGGAGTCATGTTTTCACTGATCTCCAGTGTCCGTACTTCCATTTCAAATGGCTGCCATTTGAGATCATTTTTCCTGTCAGCAGCACCAATGGAATAGCGTAACCCAGCTAAGGCTTCCGTTTTAATTTCGGAAATAAAGGACCTATACAGACCTTTCAACTCAGACTCCGAGAGGCCGGCCACTCCTGGCCACGGCGGGATTATGATCGGTGGCCTAAGAAGGGGCACCTTGCATCGCGTCATTGTACTAATGCCCCTGATGCGTTCTGCATTAAGTTCGTCCTCCGCTTTTCTCTTTGCTGCATTAACGACTTCCGCCAGATCGTCTTCGACGAGGTCGACAGATTCAATTTCCATGGCATCTTGTGAAGTAATTTCAGGGACGATGCCGGTTCGGGCCATGTATTTTAGGATATTCTCGTCATCCTCAGCTGGCCGCTTCTTAGTTGATACCGGCGGGGTAATAGGAGGCTCAACTTTCAAATCTAGTATTCTCTTCTGGACATTGGGCGATGATGTCGGATCTTCAAAATTAGGTGATGGTTTGTTAGATCCACCCGCTCGTGGCTCTAGATTTCCAACGTCATCAGGGCCTGAAAGAAAATCAGTCACGATTTGGTCGCAAGTAGGTACAAGGATACCTTCAATCTTTTCTATATCCAGCTCTTCCGCCATTGGTGGCGTTTCGGGATTCGGTAATATTTCCATTTCCAGACAGGGAGACGATGGGAGAAATGGTACGGGAGTTGGATCCCTAGGCAACAAAATTGGTGTTAGGGGAGCTCTATCTTTTTTCTGGTTACCAGTTAGATGGTTTTATTCTTCTAAATTAGTACAACAGACGACTAACCTTGCCGCAGAAGATAATTCCGTCGTTCAACCAGTCATCGACATGCCCATCTGCAGAGGCCACAACCTCACTCTTGATCCCTTGCATAAGAAGCAAGCTGTCTTTCATACAGCTCAACCTCTCCCCCTGAGCCGTACGCCATAAACGCTTTCCCTGGCTCCAGAAACTACTCGGGAACTTCAAGCTTTCGTCATTCTCATCATCAAGGTATTCCAGAGCTACATCTATCTGCACGTAATCGAGTGAAATTCCCCGCCGAAACGCTCGCATGTCCCTCTCGTGATCAGTTTGTAGGACAGGGGCTTCCAGTTTCATATCCCGAATTCGACGAGAGTCTGTTGAACAGTCGATTTCCTCATAATGGTAATGATTGCCTGTTGGTCTTTCATCGATGGATAGTTTAATAATGGAGGATAGCAAAGGTGCACTGGCCCAGTTAGCATCAAGCTTTTCTCTTGTTTTGGTCTGTATTTCTCGATGGATATCTTCCAAGTCAATAGAAGGATGGTTTGATATATCGCAAAGAGACAGATCTATGTCTTCGATCTCCGGTGGGGCCAAAAGGAGGGGGTTTGGTATGCTGTTTATCGCAACATCGTGGAACCGTGCATATTCGAGAATAGATGGTTCTGGTGACGAAGACATTGCCGATAGATAATTCTAGCAATACGGACCCTTTTCCTTCCCTTGATTCATTTAAGATGGCTAGGTCAGTCTAGATTCATATCACTATTGACTTCACGGTTCAAGGTAATACCACCATCATCTTGCATGATATCACCCAAAATATCACACAGAGATGGGCTCAAATGGGGAGGTCAACATAGAGGACGTTAAAATAGGGGGCCTCACGTGACCATAAGTACGGTCCCTTTTGCTCTGGTCCCTTGCGGAGTATTGAATGAAACAATGTTTCCTCCCTTTCTCTACCCCTATGCTAATCAGAATATATTCAAGGGCTGGTGTATCCCAGGAACAAGCAAATTCCTGGGTAATATAAAGGCAGCCAGTATGTACCGTAGACGTGTGATAGACCAGAAATAACACTCGCCAGATTCAATGAAATTATATGTCATCAATTATACCAAATGTATAAAAGACACTGAGTGAAAAGCAAGGAGCACCTCTACTGAGTATAATCGAATAGACCAAGCAATAACATGGGGGAATAAATCCCACAGAGAATGAAAATGCAAAGTAGAAAAATTTCAGTTAATCGAGCCAACTAGACACCTCAGTCATTGTAGTTCGATTGGCAGGATCCATCCTTGTTGACAAGAGGAATGTTATATTTAACAGCCAATTCTTCCTCTTGAGACTTGCCTGATGGAACAAAACTTGGGCGTTCTGCATGTCATGCAACACGAACAGCATGACGACGATGGGGGGTGAAACCATACGACGCCGTGTGATTCTTTGGTTTCAAGTCAGAAAGTAGTTCGAGCAGGTCATAGATATATAGTGACACAGAGAAGCGTACCGTTGAACGATTATCCCAGAACGCAACATCATTCTTCCCCCACTGGAAACGGGCATGTAGTTCTTGCGTCGTAACAACAACGCTGCTGAGGTAATTAATGATTGCATCACTTTCTAGCTTGGGCACCCCAACAATTTTGGTAATAAACCCGGGATTGAAGAAGAGTGAGTTCCAGCCCGTTACTGGATTAGTGCGTATGAGTGGGTGTTTAGTTGTAATTGGCTCGCGGCGGACGGGACGGCCAGCAGCCCTCGATCCATCTGCCTGCATATCCGCTGAATGAAGAGCAGTCAGGCCCTTCAGGTATGTTTGCATGTGTGGTGACAGAGCGTCATATGCGGCATATTGAGAGGACCAGAGCGTATCCCCACCACCACCACGAGGAGGGCCCGTGAGAACCTTAAGGGAGGTGTATGAAGGTGGTTGAACCTCATAGGTCACCTATAAAAGGAAATTAATAATTACTTTGCTAATTATCATAATGGGTTTTCATTGCTTGGCTTACATCGGAATGCCACAAAAAGCTTGGGCTGAACAGTGCTCTTTGATCGACGGAGTAGTCTCCCGTGTAAACCACATGGACGTCCTCCAGCCCTGCCTTTTTAGGTACAGCTGTTGTAGCATGCTGTATCGCCATATAGTTGTCAGTTAATGACTACATAGCTTGAGTTGAAACGCAGTATTCACCCTATGAAGAGTCCCAAAATATCGACCTAGATCCCTTTGGGCCTCAATATCGAAATCATCCTGGGCCCGGAAAAACACCACCCCACGAATGGCTATTAGACGTGCAAGAGCATTTCGCTGATTGTCCGTGAGTTTTGCGAGATTAACACCATGAACCTCTGTTCCGATTTTCGGATTATAGTCGAAGATGTCCGTGGCAGCGTCTAGAAGGCCGCTAAACTTCTCATCCTCTAGAATTCCCTTATCATGATACGGGACCTTTCCGATAGGGTCCCAGCTTATATTTGGAAACGAAGGGAGAAGATCATCGTAAGGGTACTTCTCATGGTCTTCGACAACCGTCCAGCCTGGCTCGTAGAGCAGAGTTGGTTCCTTTGCAATAAGGGGGCCTCCCTGTGATTGCGGGTGTACGGGCTCTTCAAGAGATGGTGTCATGGTAGCAAAAGAGGAGATTAATAATTGACGGTAGTAAACCAGCAAATCGCCCAACACACAAGAAGAAATCTTAAAGACGACAAAATTTATAGATCGATGCTGGGGAGAGAGAACGAGACGACCATCTGATATACCACCCAGCCATTTCACGAAGATATAGGCGGAAGCAGGATTCCAATCAGCCAATAGTAAGTAGCCTGATTGAAAACGGACAATTGCCCCTCGAGGCATTGCGGCAAGAGTCAACACAGAGGGGACTGCATGGCATCATTGCATATGAGAATCACATAATTTGCTCAGAACAAGAGGGGCAAAGTCAGGCAAGGATGAGAGGATTCATATATCCTGAAGGAGATACTCTTGCAAAAAGTTACCTCCACAGAAGACTGAGAAGAACGGTAATAAATAAGCTGTCAAAGCAAGTCAGCTCCTGGAGTGATTACTTGGGCTATCCCAAAGTCGGGAACTGACATGTTTTCTCACTGTGATATATCTGACATGGACGCATTTGTGGTGGTTTGAAAAAATGTTGATGGTTTGGGAGCACTAAAAAGGACAAAACATCTAGCCATCTATCTATCCATGACTTTCTTCTATGACTATTTCGCCGAGGGTTTGGCACATGGCAATCGAATTAACTCCCAAAGCAATTCTCTTCGCCCAAGTAAATACTAAATGAATCAACAGAGATGCACCGATGCCACAATATGCAAAGTAAATACCAAGATAAGGGTGAGAATCAACGCACTCTCTGTATTTAACTAAGAGCGATTAACAGAGCCAGAATATACTGTACTATACGCAGAATAAAACGTCGAAACTGAAGGTTTACTGGTCGGTAGATGCAGCGGAAGGTAGTGGTACAAGGAGGAACAAGCAATATATTGGGATTCGAAAGCACTGCAACGCGATGCCGGGTAATACGTAGTATTGTTCACTAAAAACAACAATCTAATGATGAAATATGGAATATGTGCAAAGAAGTGAACAAGTAAAACTCTTTAAACCTCTAAAGGCTCATCGTATGGAGCTGGAAATAGGGGAGTAAAGCAAAAGAACTGTCCTTTAAGGAACCCATAATCTAACAAAACCAAAAACCTCCCGCCTACATGTAACGCAGTTTCCAAAGTTATTCATCGCAAGACTAACCCTGCAATCTTCACACACGCAAAGACAACGGCACGGCCAGATGATGATCGACCTAGGCGCAGCCTGGCAGATAACGCATTGCGGTCCATCCGCACCAAGACCTGACGCTCCGGTTTTCCAAGACTCCGGCTCTCGTTGTCGTTGATATTGTTGTTGCACATAGGTGCCAGACGAATAGTCGTGGCCTAGTCGGCGCGATAGTATGAGATTTTCGAGAATTTCCGCCTCTTCCTCCGGCGTGGGTCGTTTCTTCTCATTCGAACCAGGAGATGCTGATGTGAGGCCTTGTACGTGAGTCCTGTTATATCGTGATGATGTGAGAACACGCGCGCGGTCGCGTTCCGTTTGGCTTTTAAATCGGCTGCGGGTCATTATTTTGCCTTCATCAGCTGCCATCAGATGCGAGGCTAGCACTCGAGCTTCGTGCCTCGCCTCTTGATCCCTTGGGTCGAGGAGGCGGGCAAGAGAAGCCATGTCTAAAAGGGATTCGTCGGGCGGTGTGTTTGATGTTGAGCTGGAATTAGACAGGTGGCCTTGATTGTTCCCCAGCGTGTACGGGCTGCTTTGCGTTGGTGTCCGACGACCATCCGACTCATATGCCTCCCACTCCGATTCGGCATTCGTCGACATTGAAACAACGCTTGTCGTATCATCCCAATCATCCTGAGAGGGTGTATAGTCTCCACTTTCATCTCGATCGCCCCACGATCCCCCGATCTTCCACCAATTATACAGTTTCCTGTCAAATCGGCTTTCCTCCGCTTCACCCCATTGAGAAATGTTTGCCAGCTCCCGCTTCCTCATTTCTTTTTCAACATCGTATTCGTAGTCTTCTGGGAGTTTCAGCTCCCCTTGGTCAGTCAAAATCCAAAAGTCAAGTGAGTTGTGATTGTCGGTTGTTCCTCGAACAGCTCGTTTGCGGGCAGTGCCTCCCAGCTTTGTCAACCACCTGGGTCGTCTAGTAATACCCATGAGATCCAGGGATCTTACGAACCAAAACGCTGCCCAACCTACTAAAAGAAAGAAAATTCCTCGGAAAAAAGTGAAGCCATGATAGCATCTGCTTGCTCCCTGGAACGCCCCAACCCCACCAAGAGCATTTTGACTCCCCATCGAACGAGCTCCCTTTTGTTTTTCAATTTTCTTTTCCCGCGAATATCCACTTTCCCATTCAGCTTTACGCTCGGGGATATCAAAGTTAAAGGCATCATTGGCGCCAGTAGGGAACTCCACCGGTTGGGCGGTACGTCTACGAGCGTCACGGTTGCTCCTTGAGGTCTCAATTTCTGAAAGCCTATCCTCCTCCAGCCAAGTCATTGTTCTAACCATTACGCTCTTTCCTTCGTTTAGAAAAACGGCGTCACTTGCCGCTGCTAGGGAGGCATAACCTATCCTAACCAGGGCAGTGTAAAAGTCTTCCCTTGGATTGAGGCGCACATTTCGAATTTGTGACGCACCTTGCATATTGGCATGCGCAAGTGAGAATCTTTCACGCAGCGAGGTAGGAGCCGGCATAGTAGACGGTAGCGAAAATGCAGTTATAATTAAGGCCAGTCCATAAATCGCAAGGCAGGTCAAGATGCCAGCGAATATGATCAAATGGGGCACGAATCCCACAATACATACCGTGGGGAACTTGAGAATGATATCATTACTCAAGGGCATACCATCAAAAAAGCCTAGAAGTATGGAGGCCATGAAACAAAGACCCCAGAATGTTGTGTTAATGAGGCGGCCTTGGTTCTGACGGCCGAAAACGTCGAGGATATTCGAGGATAGACTGTTGCAACAGGAAATCAGTGCAATTAGCAGAAGCTCCGGGGTAACATTAAGCCTGTCTATGACTTGGCTTTTAGAAAGAAGCTGCGATGCGGACGAGGAATTCGTGCTGTTGCTTGCGGATGTCTGGCCAGTAGCTTTGGACAGGCCAAAGAGACCGAGGCCGACAGACTGGCTTATCATCGTTTCTGCTTCTGCAAATGCTAGAGAGTGTTCAAATATAGACATCCCCGCCTCCGTGGCAACCCCACGTCCTTGCAATGCACACGATAGTGTTTCAACAAACTGGTTGAGACATAAACGAAGGAAAACGGGCCACAGGAGCGAGAATGAGCCGTGAGGTATTTCTTTAGTTCCGGGCAATCGGTTCATATGGACGGCATTGCAAGAGCCTTCATCATTCTGCCAGGGTAAAAGTAACGATGAAAGAGAATACAAGAGACCACCTTCGCCTCCGTAGTCCAAGCTAGAACGTTTTCCTGATTTTCCATATCGTATTTGTGGGTATTCTGGAGACGTTTGACAGCGGATGGCTTGTAGTAATGTAATGATTTGGCCAGTGAGCAGGACGATGGGAATTATTCTCAGAGCCAATCGAACTTGCCACTTTAAAGAAAGATGGCGCCTCGTGGAGCCGTATACAGTAACGCGGTTCAAAGCAAGTGCCTGTTCAATGCAACACGCTCGTCAGTTAATCCACCTCACTAAATTTGATACCGCCGAATTCAATGTGCCCTTCCAGAAACAGAGGCCCATCCGGGTATAGTAGTCAATGTAGGACTCACCACCGCAAAGCATGCGAGGGACCATCGGCTGGTCATGTAGCTAAAGAATCCACCAAATTTCCTCGTGTTGTGGAGCAAATCGCCAAGACTGAACCCCGATGCAACCACAGCATCAGCAGCTGCTCCTGTCCCATCTGCTCCGGCAGCTGCTACCACTGCCGCCCCTGTAGCGCCCGCCGCGTCCCTCCCAACACTAGCTCCACCACCGAGAGCTCCAGCAGCGCTCTCTATCATGCTCGCCACGGCTGCTTCCAGTCCCAGGAAATGCAGAACACTGCGGGGAGCAGTGATGAATATGAAGACCTCAGCTTGGTAAATGACGCGAAGCGGATATAGTAAAAGATCTTGTGATGTAGAGGAAAGGAACGGTAGTTTGGACAGCGTGGAATTAACAGCGCTGAGGTTCACGAAAAGCGCAGAGGAAGGAGCCAGAGAGGTCGACGGTATGGCTGCCTCTGCTGCAGTTGTGATCACGGCTGCAGTAACGTCCGCCATTGAGTTTATGTCCGTTGCAAGCGCCATGGTAATCTAAGAAGACGAGAGAGGTGAGGCCCTTGATTGCTGCTCTGTCCACTGCACTGTCTGTCAATTATTTTCTTTTTTTTTGTGGGTGTGTTTCCCTTTATCCCTCCTTCCTGCTGTATACACAATGTGAACGTCTATGCGGGGAAAACGACCGTGTTTGATTCAGCAATACTGCTATGGTCGAAAATGGAATTGCCACAGCTCCATCAATGCCGAAAGGGGGGCCAAGATAAGCTGTAAATGATTGAATGCGAATCTATCAGAAATGTAAAGATTTCATTTTTGATTTCGACGCGCAGGTCACTTCAACGAAGAGCCAAGCATCACAAGTCAGCCATGACCACGAAGATCTCAAACAAGAGTGAGCTGTTGAGTATATGGATATTTCCAGGTTGCAACGATGTCTGGAAGTTACCGCGGTGTCCCTGGCGGCTCTGGGAATGGATGCGTCGGTGTTTGCCATGTTTGCAGTCACTGGAGATGGGTCACGTGTAACTGCTGGATGCTGGCTGTTGTAATCTAGCTAGCTTCTTCAAGAGGGATGGCAGTACCCGCAAGAAGTTTGTATTTAGTGATATCGTGGTGGAGTATGTTGAGTATATTATTTGAGTAGATTCTGGATGCTTTTCTTGTTTGAAAATATCTTTCATTGAATGGTTATACGTCATATCATCATATCGCTGCTTCGTCGTAGTACAACGATATGTCAACGTCAAGCAAATCCATCTTCAAAACTAGAATTCAATCCCGACCCCAACCACACATGCACACACGCACACGCACACACACATTCACACCCCCCCTCCTGCAAAACAGGATCTCAGTAACCAATCCATTGCTTCTTACAGCCTAAACATCTCCGCCCGACTCCCAATCCCATCGAAGATACATGTATTATCCAGTGGCACGTACTGTCTCGTCAACACCTTCAGCGCCTCCTGCGCCACCATACCACCCGTCAGCGAGGAAATGTTATGCAGCTCTCCCACACCCGCGCGCTGCGTCTCTTGCATAGCCTTCGCGATACGAAGCTTGACATCGTCATCAAGCGTGTAACCATCCGTCTCCAAGAGTGCGAAGAGTTTGGATTGTGCCCCAGCCCAGTTATCAGCCTGGTCAAGGAAAGGTGGTGATGAAGATGACGGGGGTTCTGGTTGCGGTTCTGAGGCTTTTTCTCTGTACTCGCTGACGAGGGTGTCGAGAATTTGCAGGGTGAGGAAAATCGGCATGAGAGAGTCCGGATGCTGGAAGGCTTGGCGGATGGCTTTGAGGGTGATTGGGTCCGTATTCGAGTCGAGGATGGGGATATCACGGCCACGGATGACCTTGACACTAGAAGCATGCTTGCAGAATGTTTCTATTTCCTTCTCTGGGATCGGAGGTTGTGGTGATTCGCCCCTGAGTTGGGCTTCAAGAGCTCGAACGCTACCGACAACTTCCTCAAGGTCCTTGAGTGCTTTTGACTTGTAGATGTTTTGTAGAGATATGTAATCAGCCGATTGGGCTTTCATATCTGGAAGTGAGCCGGGGAGTGGGAGTACGCCATGGGTAGTGTAGAAGGACTTGATGGCGGATGCGATGATCCAGAAATTGTCGGACTTTGGGTTGAGGTTGTTACACTGCTCCATGTCAAACATTTCCCTGACGTTGCTTTTCAGCGACCACGGATTTATGCTTTTTAAAACCGCAGCTACTGCTTCGTCGAAGTTCTCTTCCCCTCCCGTGGAGTTATTCGTCCGCGCCCCATCGCGAACCATCTCTCGGAACGCTGACTTGTCTTTATAACTCAGCGGTAGGTTTCCATCGTGGGTCGCCTTCCATTTCTCGAGGAAGTGCAGTAATAAGAGTAAATACGGTACATGGCCGTGGTCGTGATCATCGAGGCTATCTAAATCAGCTATCTTTGCCGTGGCTGCTACTAATTCGGGGAAAGGGTTGGTTAAACGTAGATCCTGGACGGAGTTTGGATCTGGGTGTGTTTCGACGATGGGATATACGGTTGGAAGTTGGAGTGAAAAACCAGAGTAGAAGCCAACCGAGTGGGTATAGATTAGGGGAATCACGCGTTGTCTGGCGGCAGCAGAAATGGTTTTGAGCATAGAACGTCTCATTGGCGCTGTGATTACTATGAGTGAATATTGTTTTAGAAAGTTTTCTTCCTTTAGAAGCTCTTCAATCGGCTGTCTCAAATGTCAGTTCTCGTTTTTTAGTTGGATCATCGTTAATGTACTACCACTATGATAATCGCACCTTATCCAAGGAGTCTCCCTCGACATCTGGGTTCAGCTCCAGGAGAAATTTGCATGTCTCCTTTGCCCTCGATTTCCCTAGACTCCCCTCATCTAGGAAAAAGTTTACCCCCAGGTCCGACTCAGTAACTATGGCTGGATCAACGATGGTGAAGCCCCCAACTCCAGGCAGCACGAGGTTCTTGAGCGTCTCGACGCCCACGGCTCCAGGAACAGCAGGATATTCGTTATCCAGAGGGCCGTCTGAGTTAATCAAGAGAATTTTGGAGTTTTCAAGAGCTTTCTGACCACTGGCGGCCCATAATCGCAGCTGGCGGTCGTATTTACGCTCCTTTGATGTGAGCCCCGCAAGGCTTGAAGGGAAAGATTCAGTCATCAGGGAGCGGAAATGGTCTATGTCTAGCAAGGGCAGAGATGGTATAGGTGCTAGCTATATCCACCAGTTGCTACTAGTGTCAGAGAGCTATGTCGTTGAAGGCAAAACAAGTTACCTGGATATATATTTATATAGTTATATGGGTTTGGACACTGGACGTCTTTCACCGTTGCAGCTTTGTAGCCGCCCCGTTGCTGGTTTAGTTACCGTTAACTATCTTATCGGCTTCAGCAAGCGCCGGAGGGAACAAAGTCGGCCCGGAGCCTCAATGCCCAACCGCCGCCAATGTACGGAGTTACAGTAACTACATGCGTATGTATCTATATCAATGACTGAGGAGGCAATACAACAACCAGTTGATGCCTATAATAGTATTCTACGGTGATTCTTTGATGATGTTCACACCCTGAAGAATTAGTAATGCCATTGACCACAGGAACATTCGACCGCTAACAGCATCCTCGGGGAGATGCGGCTGGCTTTGTCACGCTGCTCTGGCTCAAAATACTCCTAACCTTCCCCGCCATGACCACCAACTCACCCCTCTAGCCAGCTCTATGAAACCCATACCAATACGCAACATCTTCCGTGCCCTGTAAGCATCCCCGTCCAAATACTATGGCCACGGGTAAGAGCAAAAGTAAAAGCTACTACATATAGTACATTCTCTCTGACATCGTCTTAACAGGCATTCTCCATCCGCCTCCACTGTTCTCCACAATTCTATCCATTCAGCGCAGTTATATGGAAAAGCAGACAATCTTCAAACTTGTGCCCGAGTTTCCCCTCTAAAATACCTTATATCTACTCCAAACCCTCTCTCCCGCCATTTACTTCCGTCCCACCTCCAGACTGCCACATTCCCGCTACCCCGCCTCTTTCTGCATACTCCTCAATTGCCGCATAGACCACACCAACACGCTCTCTATACCTCACACTCCTCCAATATGTCCACAATCGAAGACGCAAAGCGGAACGCCGCTAAAGAAGCTGTAGCAAAACACTACCCGCCAAACCCTAAATTCGTCGGAATTGGCAGCGGGACCACCATTGTCTACGTGGTCGAGGCCATCAAGGCGCTGGGCGTAGATACCTCGTCCACTGGCTTTGTACCAACCGGATACCAGTCGAATCAGCTCGTTGCCAACGCTGGCTTGACGCCTGTCGCATTCGATGCGCTCCCTGAGGGTACCGTTTTAGATGTTGCGTTCGATGGAGCGGATGAGGTAGACGATGACCTCAATTGCATAAAGGGTGGTGGGGCATGTTTGTTCCAGGAGAAACTGGTTGCGCTGCAGGCGAAAGAATTTATTTGCGTAGCTGGTAAGTGGAATATTTGTAAAATTGAATCACTCCTTTTGCTTCTGCTTCTTTTTTTTTTTTTTTTTTTTTTTTTTTTTTTTTTTTTTAACCCCGCGTTCAAATCCCTCATCCCCTCCATTCCCTTGAGCAAAATTAAAGAAATTCCAACGGTAAAATATTTCACCACTAATCCTCCCCCCCGACAGACTCCCGAAAACTCCAACCCCGCCTCCTAACAAACTGGCCATCAATCCCCATCGAGGTAGCCCCCATGGCCGTCGGCCGCGTTACCTCAGAGCTCAAAAAACTGGGTAGCCCCCTCCCAAAACTCCGCACCGCACCAGTTAACGCGGGGGAACAGACCCAACCCGTAAAAACCGACCAGGACTTCTTCCTTATCGACGCACCTTTCCCCAAACTCCTCCTGTCCTCCGACGTCGTGCAGGGCCAGGATGGTTCGGGTAAGAATGGCGTCTGGGAAGTCACGGCGCTGGCGGAGAGGATCAAATTGATCCCTGGCGTGCTAGAGGTTGGTCTCTTCTGTGGGCTGACGGGCCCCCAGGCACAGGCGACTGGTGGCATTGGTGGTCAGAAACCTGTTGCCGTGTATTTCGGTATGCCTGATGGGTCAGTTTCTGTGCGCAAGGCGAGTTAGATTAAGGGCTGAAGTGTCCGGGTGGTTTTAATTGATGTGCATACTCCCCAGGGTTTTTTTCATTTGGGTGTTTGTTTATAACCGATAAGATATCGTTTGTAATTCTTTATGGATACAACTATGGTGTAGTTTATGATACAGAAGCCGCTACGCTTTGAGAGTATGGCAGGGCAGTCTGTGAAGAAAAAAATAATCTGAAAATAAATAGAGCCATATCTTCCTCATCCCGCTATCGAGTTGATCAAACCTTACACCAACTCTTCTCCTGGGACATTTGAAAATCTTTTAATCATAATAAAATCATCTACTGAATTACCTCTTTTTTCTTTAATATCATTTCTGCCCCTTCCCCTTCGCCTCGGTCTCCCCCAACTCCCTAATAAACACCTTCACCACCCCCTCCACGCCATCCTCGTTCTCCTTCTCCTTCCCTTCTTCAAACCCAGGACTAACCCCAATGGCTAAATACTTCCCATCCCCACTAAAAGCCAACGCCGCAACACTGGCCGGATACCGCTGATACTGTCGAATCCGTCTCTTCGCCACGCCATCCCACAGCGCCACAACCCCATCCCCACCACCAGACGCAAAGGTGCCATGGACCGGGTGAAACGCCAGCGCGTTAACGGGGTACACGATATCGACACCCGGCTCGTCGGGCGCCTGCTGTCTGTGGCATTTGAAAGCATACTTGCGGTCCTGTGAGGAGTCGGAGGGATCGAACCATTCGACTGCGACGCGGCCTTCAATGCTGGAGCAGGCGTAGCCGGCGTCATTGGGCATGCAGGCTACGGCGCGCGTCATGAATTTCAGGCTCGATTCGCGGCGCTGCCAGGGGTCGATTGAGAGGGTGTGGGTTTCCGGGCTGGTGTTGGTGGATTGGTCGATGAAGGTGGAGAGGGCGTGCAGGTCGTAGATGTGCAGGGTGCGCGAGGCCATGGCGACGACGAGCTTTGTCGGGGAGAGGGAGAGGGAGAAGGGCTTTGCGGGGAGAGGGATTTTGGCTGGTGTTTTTGTCGGAGGGGATTCGGGGTGGTCTGATGGTTTGGAGGGGTTAGTGGTGCGGTGGACGTGTAGAGTAGAATCCCAGGAGGCGGAGATGAGGAGGTTGTGTTCTTTGCTGTAAACGACGGATTTCACGCCGGCGGTATGTGAACTGAGAACTGTTTGGGTGGAGGTGGGTATGTCGATTCTATATAGTCATGGTGTTTTAGCTGGTATCTCTGTGACATTATCCTTGAGGATAAAAGTGCAGTTTATAGTCATCGCGACTCACCTCCGAACGTCCCAATCGAGTCCTCCCGTATATATCTCATTCTCATTCTCTCCAAAACTGACATCTAGTACGGGGGCTCGATGCTCGAACTTCTGTATGAGTTTGCCTTCGCCCACGGCTCCGTTCTCATCGCGCAGATCATATAAATATACATTCTTATCCCATGATGACACTACCAGGCGCGTGGAGCTTGGGTCCGGAGAGAATTTCACGGCGGAGATGGCGTCCGTCGGCGGGGAAGCCAGGGCGAACTGTGCTATGGACGATGTCAGCAAAATGCGCAGTGTTTAATTCCACATAGCATCGGACTTACAAGAAGCCATGGACCCGAGTGATCAAATATATCAGAACTGAAAATGAGAATCTCAATCTGCTGTTCTGTGATATCGTCTTGTTGTTTTGTTTGCTGCATTTTATTCCCATTCTTATCCTGGTTCTGAAAGTTTTCAGTCAGTTTCTGCCATTTCACACCGCCTTATCTAATTTACATCATCGCTCCCTGCATCCATCGACATGCCTACAATACACCACACCCCACACCCACCGTCAAACGCCTTAGAAACAAAAGATAGTTCTGCTACGAACGAATCATGCCCTTTGCACAACTAGTAATAGGCCCCCCCGGGTCCGGAAAATCTACATACTGCGATGGCATGCACCAATTCATGTCGGCAATCGGCCGCAAATGCTCCGTTGTCAACCTCGACCCCGCCAACGACAGGACTTCCTACACCCCTGCGCTCGACGTGCGCGAGCTAGTGACGCTGGAGGAGATCATGGCCGAAGATACTCTGGGGCCCAACGGGGGGATACTATATGCACTTGAGGAGGTAGAGGCGAACTTTGACTGGCTAAAGGAGGGCTTGGAGGGGCTAGGAGGTGTGTTTCTTGTAAGCTTTTTTTATGGATGGAGAATGCAGCTAACTTTAAGTATTTTGGATGCATCGCAGATGACTATGTTCTATTCGATTGCCCGGGCCAAGTCGAACTCTTTACACACCACTCGTCATTGCGAAATATTTTCTTCCAAATCCAAAAACTTGGGTACAGAGTCTGCACTCACCCAGTCCTCATCAAAACCTCCTCCTCCCAACTGCAAAGTCTCTTGTCCATTCATAACTAACCCCCCATCCTCAACAGCTCGTCGTAATCCATCTTATCGATTCCTATAATCTTACCCTCCCTTCAATGTACATCTCCGCCCTCCTCCTCTCCCTCCGCGCCATGCTCCAAATGGATCTACCTCACATCAACGTCCTCACCAAAATAGACAACCTCTCCAACTACCCCCCACTCCCCTTCAATCTAGACTTTTACACAGAGGTCCAAGACCTATCCTATCTCATGCCGCATTTAAAGGAGGAATCCCCTCGCCTAGCAAACTCGAAATTCGACGCACTGAATCAGGCGATCGTCGAGCTTGTGCAGGATTTCGGACTTGTGGGGTTTGAAACACTCGCGGTCGAGGATAAGAAGAGCATGATGAGCTTGTTACATGTTATTGATCGGGCAGGAGGGTATGCGTTTGGCTCCGCGGAGGGGGCGAATGATACGGTCTGGCAAGTGGCGGTTAGAGAAGGATTGGGGACAATGGATATAAAAGATGTACAGGAGAGATGGCTGGATGCGAAGGATGAGTGGGATGAGAAGGAGAGGAGGGGGTGGGAAGAGGAAGCCAAGGCGCGGGAAGAAGCGGGGAAGAATGCGCCCCGTGCTGGAGGTGGTGATAGCGATGTTGACATGGACCATATGGACGATTTCGACATG